AGTGCGTGTTTATACAACTTTGGATTTTTTTTAAAAAAAAACTTGTCTTAACGTGGGAAGGGGAAAAATCAATGGGCGGATGGAATATTCCTCATAGTTCAGAAGATGGAATGATATTTGCAATGGAGGAATGATTTTTTATTTTTTATTTTTTTAGGGGGTGGGGTGGGTAAATATAAGTAAATTAAAAAATGCAATAGAGTTGACCAAGTAATCAACTTTCCATCCTACCAAATGACTACCATGATTAACTAAACTCGTCATAAGATAAAAAGTGAGTAGAAGTGGAGTTTGAGCAGCAGGGCGTGTGGGTTAGTAGTGACGTGGAGGGAGGGGTACGGGTTCCGATGAGGAGTGGCACATTCGTGGCGGGCAACTTTGATGGCAAGAAATACGAGGAAGTGTGTTTACACGTGATTACCTTGCTCCCCTTCCCACCGTTGGAGTCCAATTAAAATTTAATCTCCTTTGCTAATCATTTTAATATTATTAACAATAGCACTACTATCTCTTTTCATTCTCTCTCTCTGCCATCATCCTTCCTCCCCTCTTATGATTTCATTCCTTTCATGGAATGATTGTAATTCCCTCTTTCTTTCTTTTTTACAACCCTCCTCTCTTTCTTTCCAAAAAAATATGATTTATTCTATAAACTAAAATAATACAGAATAATAAAGTATTAAGTTTGTTTAATTTTGGGAGGGAATACTTTCTCTCTACCACTCTCATGTTCCCTTTTGCAGCTATACGTATCACTGTGACACTGAGACAAGCATGCATGGATGCTCGGAATCCCTTGGTTTTGGTACCAACGATACATATTAATAATTTTATCAAATGCTGCCAAAAGGCCCAAAACTATCTTATCCTGTTGAATCTTCCCTGATTTATATAGTATCTGCCAAACTCTATTTGCTAAACTAATACTCATTCCCCTCCTTATTATAAGACATTTTAATTTTATCTTAAATTTCAATTAAAATATTTTTTTATTTAAAAATAAAAAATAAAAATCTATTTTTACATTCGCCGTCTTCTACTAATTATTAGGAAATGCATTTAAGGTTTTTATTTTAATAAAAAGACATCTTAGATTAAACTTAGAACAAATCAAAATTCCTTATAATAAAGACCGGTGTGAGTAGTACCTCAACAAATATACTTGTTTCTTCAGCTATAAATTAAGCAGGAGCGAATCTATTATACATATTAAATCAGAGTTCTTAATCGATACGTGTCTCCCAGAGAGCAAGTTTAGCCAATTGTGCCACGTCTCATTACCAAAATTCTCCTTCATTAAACAGTTAAAAATTTATTACTAATACATAAAATTGTTAAATTGAATTAAGTAATAAATCAATATTTAATTTCAGAAAAATAAACACATTTTTGGTAATTATTGGCAAATATATGACATAAGAAAATATTAATCATCAAATTAATAATTGTATTCAGAATACAGTTTAAAACTAAGTCTGGATACATTAAACGTAAGTTAATACTCCCTCTGTCCCAAAATTATTGTCCAGTTTGAGACTTCACTCTTAGTACAATTTGAACTAGAAATGAAAATTCAAATTGGACAATAATTATGGGACGGAGGGAGTATTATTTTTTAGATGATTCCGTTTGATATATTTTCCAAATATTAAAAGATATTAGTTACCAAAAAAATAAATTGTTACCAAATAACTATATTACGAATACAATTCGAAACCAAGTCTACCTACATTACAAGTATGTTAATATTATTTTTTATTTGATTGACATATTTTCTATAAATAAAAAGAGACTACTTACCAAAACGAAGAGATAATTTACTAAATAGTTATACGAGTACAATTCAAAATTAAGTCTGAATACATTAAATATAAGTTGATAATATTTTTTGATGATTCTATTTGATATATTTTCTAAAAATAAAAATAAATTAGTTACCGATAACAAAAAAATATGTTTGTTACCAAATAATTATACTGTGAATACAATATGAAACAAAATCTGGATAAATTAAACGTATGTTCATATTATTTTTTTAGATTATTCCATTTGATATATTTTTCAAAAATAAAAAGAGATTAGTTACTAAATAACTATACTATTAATAAAATTCGAAACTTAATCGATACGTTTCGCCCAGGGAGTAAGTTTAGCCAATTATGCCACGTGTCGTCACCAAAGTTCTCATTCATTAAACAGTTAAAAGTTTATTACTAATATATAAAATTGTTAAATTGAATTATGTAATTAACTAATAGTTAATTTTGGAAAAATAAACACGTTTTTTTTGTAATTATTGACAAATATATGACATAGAAAATATTAATTATCAAATTAATAATTGTATTAAGAATACAGTTTGAAATTAAATCTGGATACATTAAACGTAAGTTAATATTACTTTTCAGATGATTCTGTTTGATATATTTTCCAAAAATTAAAAGATACTCCCTCCGTCCCACAAAAATAGTCCAATTTAATAAAAAAATTTGTCCCAAAAAAATAGTCCAGTTTCACAAAAGTCAAAATTAATTGATTTTTTTTTTTGTTAAAATTAATTGAATTGAAATGACTTAAATATCCAAAAGAGTAGTGGTAAGGAAAGCAATGTCCACTTCCTTTGATTTTGATTTTTTTTAGTTTTCTCCTATTTTTTCAAATGATTATATCTTTTAATCCATGAATAATTAAAAAATGTGTTATATATCAAATTAATCTATGAGATCTTTCCATCAGGATCCATTGTCAATATTTTTTTAGATAAAAATTTTGATCAAATTTAAGTTGTAAAATAAATGCATATGTAGTTAACTTTTATAGAAATAACTAGAAGGGGCATTAGTGAAAATTAGGGGCATAAAATGAGTTGTATATTTGGTGTGTTGACTAAATTAAAAAAAATTGTACATTTTTAAACTGGACTATTTTTCTGGGACGGAGGGAATATTAGTTACCAGAAAAAAAAAATTGTTACCAAATAAATATATTATGAATACAATTCGAAACCAAGTCTACCTACATTACAAGTATGTTAATATTATTTCTTAGATGATTAGTATATTTTTCATAAATAAAAAAGAGTCTAATTACCAAAACGAAGAGATTATTCAACAAATAATTATAGGAGTACAATTCAAAATTAAGTCTGGATACATTAAACATAAGTTGATAATATTTTCTGATGATTCTATTTGATATATTTTCCAAAAATAAAAATAGATTAGTTACCAGTAACAAAAAAATATATTTTTTACCAAATAATTATACTGCGAATACAATATGAAACTAAGTCTGGATAAATTAAACATATGTTCATATTATTTTTTCAGATTATTCTATTTGATATATTATTCAAAAATAAAAAGAGATTAGTTACTATATAATTATACTACAAATACAACTCGAAACCAAGTTTGTATACATGCAAGATAGGTTAATATTATTTTACAAATGATTCTATTTAATATATTTTTCAAAAAATAAAAAGAGATTACTTTAAAAAAATAAAAGGAGATTAGTTACAAATAATTATATTATGAATACAATTTGAAAACAAAGACTGGATTCATTAAATGTAGATTAATATTATTTCTCAAAATATTTTATTTGATACATTTCCAAAAATAAAAAGAGGAGATTAGTTAACGAATCATTATATTATGAATACAATTTAAAACTAAGTCTAGATACATTAATGTATATTAGTATTATTTTAAATGATTCCATTTGATATATTTTTCAAAAATAAAAATATAGTTATGAAAAATATAAAGATTAGTTGCCAAATCATTACATTACGACTACAATTTGAAATCAAGTTCAGATACATCATATATATGCTAATAATATTTTTTAAATAATTTTATTTGATATATTTTTCAAAAATAAAAAGAGATTAATTTCATAACTAAGGAAAAAGTTATAAGTCCAGATAAATAAAATGGGTCCTGCACCCACCAAGCACATCATGTTTTGCTATTACAAAAAACAACGGAAAAAGTTTGGAGTGTGGATGAGTATTTCAAAATTATTTATTAGTTCTTTTTTGTCATTGTTCCCCCCCCCCCCTATTTTTGTGATTTATTTACTTTTGTTTGAATTTTCTTCTTTTTTTTCGCGTTATGCCTAAAAAAAAATTATTTATAATATTTGATTCGATTACTACAAGTAAACAATATATGCTTTTCAGTCAATATATTTTAAGAATATACATGACTTAATTTTTTTTTGTTGAAAATAACTTTTATATATTTATATCCCTAAACAAGTAGGATAGTAGACAATTGATCATATTAAATCGTATTTAGAAATTTTTTTTTTTGATACACTATCACTGCAAAACAAGAAGCATATTTGATAGTTGAACATATTAATTTGTACTCCCTCCGTCCCATAATTATTATCCAGTTTGCGTTTTCATTTTTAGTTCAAATTATACTAAAAGTGAAATTTTAAACTGGACAATAATTTTGGGACAAAGGGAGTATTTTAAAATACCCTATATGGCTAAGAAATAATTGATCAAAGTGGTAACAATATTGGACCAAGTTAACTACAATCCATGATTAAATCTGTGCATGTGCATATCATGATTGGTGGAAGAGGTTTGTCTTCCAAATGTGACCTACCCGATTCGAAGACGGATTAGTTAGAATAATGATTTCAAACACCGGATATATTATATACCAAAAAAGGAAAAAAAAAACATATGACACTCTTGAATTTGAACTCCGAATGCCTAATATACCAAAAAACAGAAAACTAAAACATATAACACTTTTCATCGGAAAATAATGATATATTAATGTTACTTTAAAATATAATATAATCTTTGTACGAAAAAAAATAATAAAATCCGCACGATGTGCGGGCATAATACTAATAATACTTAAAAACAACCATCAACGGGTCTGTGTGTATGTGTTCTATTTTACTTCATTAATCCTTTTCTGTTTCACTAAATATATAGGTGATTTGATTTATTCATATATATACCTAGTACTCGTGTCATGGATGGGTGAGTGGGTGGTTCGTCATTTGGAATAATTCTTCAAACATTGTAATATAGTAGTACTAATGACTTTTAATAATTATACTAACACCACCACCATATTCCTCCCCGGTTGCTACAATATTACTCTTCTTCTCGGGTACAAACTACAAATCACAGAACCAAACTTTAATTCTAAAATTTTCACTCCCCTGGTGAGACACCAAAGGAAAATACTACTGGTACTACAATTTAAAAATATGACAGAATACAGCATTCAAGTAAAATTTATTCCTTCCATTTCTAAATATAGATTTCGTTGGATGGAAAAGATTTACAAAATCGAACTATTTTTGTGAAAACTTTTTTTTTATTATAATATAATATTGCCCCCTTATATGAGAAATAGTTTTGAATTATAATATTCCGATGTAAATAATATTGGAATCAAAGTTAAATTGAAAATAAATCTTTCCATCAACTCATATATGTTTATTATTAATGTTTCCCTCCCTTATTTATACATTATTAGCAGCAGCTCATGTGACAACGTCCCCATATCCTTTACTTTTTTTCTCGTCCTTCCTCTCTTCCTCTCCTCTCTTCTCTTTCACTCCAATGGCAGTTTCTTCCCAGGACCCCACCAAAGAACCTCCGCCTCCGCCGTCCTCCTCCTCCTCCGACGAAAGATGTCCGGTGGAGGAAGTAGCCCTAGTAGTGCCGGAAACCGACGACCCCAGCCTGCCAGTAATGACTTTCCGGGCATGGTTCTTGGGGCTAACATCCTGCACCATCCTAATCTTCTTAAACACTTTCTTTATTTTCAGAACCCAACCCTTAACCATATCCGCCATCCTCATGCAAATCGGGGTCCTCCCCGTCGGCAAATTCATGGCGGCCACCCTGCCTACCCGGAAATTCGGATTCTATAAATGGAGCTTCACCCTCAACCCGGGTCCGTTTAACATCAAGGAGCACGTGGTTATCACCGTCATGGCCAACTGTGGGGTCTCCATCGGCGGCGGCGATGCTTACTCCATTGGCGCCATTACTGTTATGAAAGCTTATTATAAGCAGAGCCTCAGTTTCCTCTGTGCTCTTCTCATCGTCTTAACCACCCAGGTTTTTTTTCTTTCTTTCTTTTTCCTCTTTTTCCTTTTTTTTTTTTAAGTGAGCAAAGTATTTCCGTTCCGATGATTAAAGCTTTGGTAATTGATTGCGGGAAGAATTAACAAACCGGCCTTTTTATTGTTCAAAAAACACACAAATGAACGATGCCAAGTTCTGGAATTCTTTGGCCTGTCTTTTGGTTTTGGTGGAAAAAAATGATATGTTTTATCTTTTTTCTTACTGGTACGTTAAAAGGTTTCATTTATGTTTGGACGGTTATATCCCTGGGAGCTTTTATACGGAAAGGAAATCAAAGTTTTATTTTATTCAAGGAAATCAGATTTTACACGTATGAAGCTACTGAAGTGTGTTTCTTCTTTTAAGAATTTATTTATATTTTTAATCTTTCCAACGAATAAGAGTAAGTAATGATTTTAAGAGTTTATGGAAAATATTTGAGAGAAATGTAAGGCTCTATTTGTTTGGTTTTTTGGATGGTTTTTTCAAATTATTTTAATAATAACTGTCCCATCTCAACATACTGTTTTACATTTTCGATACACTTTTTTATATTTCCAATACAAAAACACTTAAAAACACACACTTAAAAAAATGAAACAAACATACACTAAGTAACGAGACTGATTGAAAAAGCTGCCCTTTTCCTCTTACATTTTTTTTGCAAGTTCCAAATTCACAATTTAATAAAATTTTGGATGGAAATGATCTTCATGCTGCTGCAGCTAGCCATATAATTTCCTTCATTATTTTTTTTTAGAATATTCCTTATCTTTTTTCTTTCGGTTTAACTGCTTGTAATTGGTTGGCATGCAGATATTGGGTTATGGATGGGCTGGCATGCTGAGGAAATTCCTGGTTGATCCTGTTGAAATGTGGTGGCCTTCAAACCTTGCTCAGGTTTCTTTATTTAGGTATAACTTATTTTCTTTTTAGTTTCCTTTTGATATTTTTTTTCTTACATCATTAACTTAAATTCTTCTGTTCAGTTCAATCAGTCAATGGATAAGATAGTAACAGTACTGCTGTTCTGCCTTTGTGGCTGTTAGGCTTAGTGGGATTGTAAACATTCTTAGCAAGGGGCATCCTACAGTCCCACATCGGATGGTCATAAAATAAAGTGGAAAAGAAGAAGAATGGGGACAAATTCATCAAAAAAAGTTTTCCAAATTTTGTTGTCAATTTTCGTTCCTTGGTCATTCCAACAGAACAACTTGTTTGTTACACACTATAATGTTCTGATACCGTGTCAAACTTAGCTTTATTCTCTGTGTACGTTTGTCGTTAGATCATATTTCACGTTCAAAAATCACATCAACTTCTTATCGTGTTGGTCAGGTGATTAAACCAAAAATGATTGTCTATTACTTCAACCAGTGTTAGTTATTCTCCTTATTTTTATGCGGATTTTTACATAAGTCAATATGCAATTCTTCACCCCGCCTGCATTGTTCACGAATAATAATGTATAATTTGGCTTATAAAATTAACCGGCGGCTTTTTTCTTTAACTACTTTTCTCTTGATGTTTTTGAGTTGCTGATGAATCACAGTAAGAAACAATGTGTTATCTGTGTAAGCGATCTCATATAGAACGGGATAAAAGGCTTCATTTCTGTTGTTGTTTGACTACAAACAGGGCACTTCATGAGAAGGACTCGAAGGCGAAATCAAAAGGATTGACTAGGATGCAATTCTTTCTGGTGTTCATGGCTGCAAGCTTTGCCTACTATGCACTTCCCGGTTACCTGTTCCCAATATTGACATTCTTTTCGTGGGTGTGTTGGGCCTGGCCCCGTAGCATCACGGCGCAACAAATCGGGTCAGCCTACCATGGACTCGGTCTTGGCGCTTTCACCCTCGACTGGGCTGGAATCTCAGCTTACCATGGCAGCCCTCTGGTTACGCCTTGGTTTTCTATCTTGAATGTTATGATTGGATTTGTGATGTTCATTTATATTATCATCCCACTGTGTTACTGGAAGTTTAACACGTTTGACGCCCGGAAGTACCCCATTTTTTCTAGCCAGTTGTTTACTTCTGCTGGGACAAAATATGATACCACAAGGGTACTGACTCCCAATTATGAGCTTGATGTTTCTGCCTATGAAAAGTATAGTAAGCTCTACCTCAGCCCCCTTTTTGCCCTTTCAATCGGTTCAGGGTTCGCCAGATTCACCGCGACCCTAAGTCATGTTGCATTGTTTCATGGCAGGTGAAGCACCACTTCCAATTTCATTTTATTCCATTTTTTGTAGCGTAAAGCAATTGAATGTTTGTTTTGGTTCTATCGAATCTGACACTGATCTTTCTTGTGCTTTAATTTATGTAGTGATATCTGGAAGCAGAGCAGATCTGCAGTGAAGAATGTGAAATTAGATGTTCATGCCAAACTGATGAAGAGTTACAAACAAGTACCCCAATGGTGGTTCCTCATCTTGCTCGTAGGCAGCATTGCCCTTTCCCTCATGATGTCTTTTGTATGGAAGAAAGATGTTCAACTACCCTGGTGGGGAATGATCTTTGCTTTTGCTTTGGCTTGGATCGTTACGCTGCCTATTGGTGTCATTCAAGCGACTACCAATCAGGTACATACATACTGGCATGTATATATATGGTCATATGGTCAACCTCAATTAAGTAGTGCGAATTTGGTTAGTTGTCATTTTACTGTTTTTCTTAATCAATAAGAACACACTACATTGATGATTTCGCTTTTTTTATTTACTCTGCAGCAACCAGGATATGACATCATAGCCCAGTTCATAATAGGATATGTGCTTCCAGGAAAACCAATTGCAAACTTGCTGTTCAAGATCTATGGCCGTATCAGCACAATTCACGCTCTCTCTTTTTTAGCCGACCTTAAACTCGGACATTACATGAAAATCCCACCCCGGTCAATGTATGTCGCTCAGGTAGATAACAAGCAACCTATTGTCACTGAATTTTTAGTTAGTGCTTGATGTTAGGAAGAAAGTGAATGTTATTTACAATTAAATGTGTAATTGCTGAAATGCCTGAGCTGACCGCGGTATTTCAACAGTTGGTAGGAACCCTAGTCTCTGGAGTCGTCAACCTGGCCGTGACATGGTGGATGTTAGGAAATATCAACAACCTCTGTGACGTTGAGGCGTTGCATCCCGACAGCCCCTGGACCTGTCCTAAATTCCGAGTCACCTTTGACGCTTCGGTGATATGGGGATTGATAGGACCGGAACGTTTATTCGGACCAGGCGGGTTGTACAGGAACCTAGTGTGGCTATTCCTAATTGGAGCCATCTTGCCGGTACCCGTTTGGGTCTTGAGCAAAATCTTCCCGGAAAAGAAATGGATCCCATTGATAAACATACCAGTTATATCGTACGGGTTCGCAGGGATGCCCCCGGCGACACCTACGAACATCGCGAGCTGGATCATAACAGGGACGATATTTAATTACTTTGTATTTAAATACAGGAAAGGATGGTGGCAGAAGTATAACTATGTGTTGTCCGCAGCACTGGACGCGGGGACAGCATTCATGGGGGTGCTGCTGTTTTTTGCGTTGCAAAATGAAGGGAAGAATTTGAAGTGGTGGGGAACTGAGTTGGATCATTGCCCTTTGGCGACATGCCCTACTGCACCTGGAGTTAGTGTTACAGGTTGCCCCCCAATTAAATAGAAATAGAAGGCCAAGAAATGGTTTGAATTTGCCACTACATAAAGTTTTGGGATCTTGAATTTGGGAATAGAATTCTAAGCTGGTATTTTAGGGTAGAATTTTTGGTGTATATTGGAAAAAGGTTTTGTGGTAAAAAGAAAATTGTGCAGTTTCTGATTCTGAGGCCGTGGAAAGTCAGAATTAGAAACTGGACTACATTGATGGCTTGTAACTTTTTTGGTCATGCCCAACTTTCCCCTTCGGGGCAATTACTACTTAGCATGCGCGCCACCCCATCGGATCACCATTAAAATTTTTGGTTTAGGGACACCAAATAACATTGAGAAAGAATATAAATATATATAAATCTATCCCTCTTATGATCGACTTAATGGTTAGGTTTTTTTGCTTCCCGATTCTCCACTAATTTGTCGCCGCTACCTGAATTGGTCAAAAGGGAAAATAATGTCACAATTTCACCAAACATATCGACTGATAATTAGCTGCTTATTGCGTTAAACAAGAATCCTCTGGGATGATTATTGCCTGATTGGCTTGTTATTGGTCATCAAGTCTAGACCATGAATTGAAAATGCATGTGACAAAAGGCAAGGAGTTGTTTTCTCAATTTCAGTGCTGCTTTTGAGTAATCTATCCCAATTTTTATCAAAAATAAATCTGCGGGATGTTGATGATCCCTTTATACAGAAAACAAATTTCTTAAATAATAATAATAATAATAATTAAATAAATTCAGAAAACAATACTTGCATGCAAATATACCATCAGAGCAATTTAAACAAATTTTTCGACTTTCTTTCTTATTCTTTTTTTCTTTTTGGGTACAATTCTTTCATTTTTCAATAGTTAGCATGTCCGCAGAAATGCATAACAACTCAACGCTATATTATATGTGTCCATATCAGGGGTAGGGCCGGCAGTAGTTAAAAGTTATACTCATAAAAGGCATCCCAAAATAATCAAACAGAAAGAATTCTAGGTCTAAAGCTTTGAATTTGGGTTTAGAAAATTAATTATGATATGAACCAGCCAGTAGCCACATGTTGTTGTGTTTTATTATATACTTAAATTAAATCATCGCTTTCGGATCCATATTCTGGATATAGGTGTATAAAAAATATACAGTGCAGTATCGTACCAGATAAAACCTACACTAAGTCCTCTCGGAACTAGATAATTTAACACTCCTAATACTCTTCTAATTATTATTACTACCAATATAATTACTCTCATCACATATCTGTCTTGACAGGAATATCTTCTTACGCAGCGCAGGTAGTTACCGAATGACCCTTTCAGAAATCAGAATAATCATGTTTTATATTCCTTTTGATAAGGTGGCCATACCCCAAACCAATGAAACATCGTAGAAAACAAACAAAGCCTACGTGGGTTGTCAATTTTGTATCATAACCTGCTCCATATTCCCGTTACCTGCGAAGATGTGAAATCCTGATTTTTCCTAATTCCTTCAACATATACTATTTCTTTAATACTAGTAATTCTTTAGTCTGAAAGATGGTCTATTAGTTATTTAGGACAGATAGAGTGCTATATTTAATGATCTCTCTACCGATGCTCCAGTCTATGAAAGAAAATTGCTTTCATACCCCGTATGTATGTACTCTTCTCTTTTCTATAGATTGATTATGGGGTTTTCTTTTCTTCTTCTTTTTTTTTTTTTTTGGTTGGTTCACATAAATATTCGTATTCATAAACTTTTCCACTACAAAGATTGGCGTGGTATCATTAAAAATGAAAATAATTAATTGGAGCTTAATTAATTAATTAATTAAAGGCGGCTAACGGACTTGACGAAGAAGTTGAAGTGCGCAACCTGAGAAGGCTCATTAATCTCAAAAATGATCAACAATATTGTTGATCAATGATCTCATACTCGACGTCCCACTTGTTGGTAGTTTATTCCAAACTTTTCCAGCTACCCCTCTGGACTCATCTCAATATATAAAAATACACTACTTTTTCATTTGGAATAATAATGCCTAATAATACTAATAATAATAAGACAATCTATATAACATATCGTCACATCAATTACCTTTGTAATAGCAGCATCGGCTTAGTTTTGAATGTGATCACAAAATGGTCATGGCTTCCAAACACACGAAGCCGCGGGAGGAGGAAGAGGAGGAGGAGCCACTTGCCGGTGAAGGCAGGGATGAGAAATGTCCGGTGGAAGAAGTAGGGCTGGTGGTGCCGGAAACGGACGACCCCAGCATGCCGGTGCTGACATTCAGGGCATGGTTTCTGGGGATGTTCTCTTGCTTGCTGCTGATATTCCTCAACACATTTTTCACCTACAGGACGCAGCCATTGTTCATCTCCGCCATCCTGATGCAGATCGTAACACTGCCGCTGGGGCGGACGATGGCGGCGATCTTACCAAAGGGAAAGCTTAACCCGGGTCCCTTCAACATCAAGGAACACGTGGTGATCACGGTGTTGGCCAATTGCGGCTCCGCTGCCGGAGGGAGTGAGGCCTACGCCATGGGAGTTATCACCGTCATGAAGACTTACTACAAGCTCAATCTCACCTTCTTCGCTGCTTTTCTCATCGTTTTGACCAGCCAGGTTCTATTTACTACTCCACCCCTACTCTTGCTACCTAGTCCTTCTTCTTTTTCTTTTTTTTTTCTTTCATTTTCTCTGGAATATTAGTACTGTACAAAATTGATTTCTTATGCATTACACTTTCTTTTCCCCTTTGGAGTTATATACTGACATCCACCAGAATTTCTGTGATCAAATACGCGAACTCCTATATTCAGAATTTCTTGTGATTAACTGCTATGTTTGGATTGTTTTTTTAGTGTGTATTTTTAAATATTGTTTGTATGGGGAATGTAAAAAGATATATTAGCATGGAACAATTATTATTTAATTATATTAAAATTATCATAAAAACCAAAACAAAGAAAGCCTAATGGAAATATTTGTTACCGGGTCGACAATGCATATTTATTGGAAATTGTCTCACTGCTATCCTAGGTGAAAGGAAACATGCATAGTCAATAATCCAACACTCAACATTAAATTATATTACTCTTTTAAAACCCAAAAAAATTCTCCATTCCAAAATAATTAAGCAATTAGTATTTTCCTTTTCAATACAATGTCTCAAAATAATTATTCAATTTGGAGATTCATTCCAGGACATAAAGAGTATTTCTCATTTCAAAGGTACTAGTATAATTTTTTTTTTTAAAAAAAAAAAACTTTGGTTAACTCAACTAAGGTATGATTATTAATTATCAATAAATTCTTAGTTGTATCCCTAGTTAGTTTATTATTTCCATCTCAAAACAGTAATTTATCTCTGTTTTAGTGAAGGAAATTTTTAAAACAAATTAATTTTGACTTTTATGAAACTGAAATTTTTTGTACCAAAACATTTTATGAAATTGAATAGTAATTCCGAGATGGGGGAGTAATATATATATATATATATATATATATATATATGTATATATTGATTGAAAGTACTTCTATATAGTCTGGATAAGATCAGCGATACATGTCAACAGGTAGAGGGATTTATTAGATAAGAAATTACCCTTTATTTTAGGAAATATATATGTCACAATTAGTAATTGACCAAAACATTGGCAATCACACTTCCCCGCACACAAGTCAACAATGTATCCGTATGTTTGTGTGTTGATGGAAGGTTGATTTGATGATTTGAATTCAATGTGTTGGGTGGGGGATGGCAGTTGATAGGGTATGGATGGGCAGGAATGCTGAGGAAGTATTTGGTTGAACCTGCGGAAATGTGGTGGCCATCAAACCTTGCTCAAGTTTCCCTTTTCAGGTCTCTTCTTTTCTCTTGTATGTTGTCTCTCTTTTGTATCAAAAAAAAAAAACAAAAACATCCTAATGCATCTTTAATTAATGAACAAATGTACTAATATTATTTTGGTTTTGGTTTTAACAAATTATGCAGGGCACTTCACGAGAAGGAAGAGAGGAAGAAAAAAGGGGTAACAAGAATGCAATTTTTCCTAATGTTCATGGCTGTCAGCTTTGCTTACTACACATTCCCAGGCTACCTTTTCCCGCTGCTCACCTTCTTCTCTTGGACCTGCTGGCTGTTCCCTCGGAGCGTCACCGCCCAGCAAATTGGGTCCGGATACCATGGGCTTGGGCTTGGTGCTTTCTCCCTGGACTGGGCCGGTATCGCGGCTTATCACGGCAGCCCACTGGTCACCCCCTGGGTTTCCATCCTCAATATCGCCTTTGGTTTCATCCTCTTCATCTACGTCATATTCCCGGTGTGTTACTGGAAATTCAACACTTTTGAAGCTCGCAGATTCCCCATATTCTCCAACCAGCTGTTCGATTCCCAGGGTCAAAACTACGATGTTACTAAGATTCTCAACTCCCAGTTCGAGCTGGACACCGCCGCTTTCCAGAAACGTGGGCCGCTCTACATGTGTTCCATGTATGCCATGTCATTGGGCTCTGGATTTGCAAGAACTTCTTCTGTTTTCATGCACGTAGCCATCTTCCATGGCAGGTTGGTGCTCTCAGACTCGGTTTATAATTTGTTTGTTGTGATGGAGAAGGATATGTAGAAGTTACTTAGCACTCCCTCCGTCCCAGGCACACGCAAAATGATTGTCTGACATTGTTGTTTAGGTTTTCACTTTTAGTATAACTTAACATTGTTGTTTAGGTTTCACTTTTAGTATAACTTAACAGTCTTACAAGATGAAAATGCAAAGTGGAGCATCATCATTTTTGGGACGGAGGGAGTACATTTTTATGAAAAATGAATGACGCGCGCGGGGGTTTGGGTCGGGGTTGACAGGGACATATGGAAGACATTTGTGGGATGTTCCAAGAACATGAAATTAGATATTCACGCGAGGCTGATGAAGAACAACTACAAGGGAGTGCCGGAGTGGTGGTTCCTCATCATATTAACCTCAAGTGTGGGTCTCTCACTGTTGGTTTCCGTTACGCTCAAACAAGACTTGCAATTGCCATGGTGGGGTTTCCTCTTTGCTGCTGGTCTGGCTTGGCTCTTAACCCTCCCTGTTGGTGTCATCCAAGCCACCACCAACCAGGTCCACAATCTCTCTCCTCAGAGTGCGGACTGCAGTATATAGTTGTTGTTTGTGTTTGTTAATATATCTATCTTGACAAATTAAAATACTCAATAACATTACCACATTGCAGCAACCAGGATATGACATTGTAGCCCAGCTGATGATAGGGTACCTACTCCCTGGGAAGCCCATAGCCAACTTGCTGTTCAAGGTTTACGGAAAGGCCAGTATCCTCCACGCTCTTACTTTCCTGTCCGACCTCAAGCTGGGTCACTACATGAAAATCCCTCCAAGAAGCATGTTCACTGTTCAGCTGGTGGGATCCCTGGTTGCAAGTCTGGCCAACCTGGGGATCGGGTGGTGGATGCTGGGAAGCATCCCCAACATCTGTGATGTCGAGGTGCTTCATCCTGATAGCCCATGGACTTGCCCCAGGTTCCGAGTCATGTTCGACACCACCGTGGTTTGGGGCTTACTCGGACCGGAACGCCTGTTCGGCCCCAAAGGTCTGTACAAGAACATGATCTGGTTATTCCCCTTGGGGGCTCTGTTGCCCCTCCTGGTGTGGGTTGCCACCAAGACCTTCCCCAAACAAAAATGGATTCCTCTCATCAACATCCCTCTCATCACCTGTGGATTTGTGGGGATTCCACCCGCTGCACCCACCAACATCGCCAGCTGGATCCTGGTCGGGATGGTGTTCAACCATTTGCTCTTCAAATACCAAAAGGGCTGGTGGCAGAAGTACAACTACGTCCTTTCCTCCGCACTGGATGCCGGCACCGCTTTCATGGGTGTATTGATTTTCTTCGCCTTGCAGAATTCCGGTAAGAATCTCAAATGGTGGGGAACCCAACCCGATCACTGTCCTCTGGCAACATGCCCAACATCTCCCGGGATTGTTGTATCAGGATGCCCTTCTCTCAATTAGGTCATTTTTCAGATCAGTGGAATAATCTTTTCACTGACTGCACTTTCACACAAGTCAATCTCGCCCAGCGTGTGGCATTGTTATCAACTAAAATGTTTTGGTACCTGCTGCTAGCTAGCTTCTATACCAATTACTTCAGATTTTCTTGGTTGAATGAGGAATACCTATTGCGATCCAAGCTTCCTGTACAACAGACTGACCTATCATTACAAAGCAAGGAAAATACCAATGACATGTGAAACTCCTTTGTACCAAACCTACAACATACTTCCGAGATGCCCTGCCATCAAATAGTATTTTGCAAACGAAGTCTCCAAGCTGCACGGGGATGCAAGTGCTTTTAAGGCCAAAAAGGAACCAATCATACACTTGATGCTTCAACTAAAAAGACTATACCAGATACCCTAATTATGATCGATAGCCGATATAGCACTGCCATCTTAATTGCACAGAAACGAAGATATACAAAACAAAGAATTGATCAAATTTTGGTAAAAGGGGGTATCAAGTGTCAACTCTATCAAGCCTTTGTTTTTTCTTTTCTTTTTTTTTTCCTTTTTGGGAAATAAAAAAAAAAAAAAAAACTTTCGAAACCCCTTCTCGTATGCCTCTACCTTTAAGCTAAAATTAATACATGCCGAAATGTCACAATTACATAAAGAGGGATTAATGCACCCAAGACATTTTTTTTTTATCTCTGTATGGACTTGTACAGCACTACTGTAACGTATTTGGACAGGAAACGATTAGTTGAACCAAGTGCTACCACTGATGGGCTGCTGCGGCCTTTTTGCATATAGAGATGGTTTAGTATTACGTGCTGTGGCCTTGAATAAGGTGGTGGGATCTCCATTTGCGCTGATGGAACGTTCAGCAATGTCATCTGCAGATGTGGAGGGACCAATGGAGGCTCTTTTGCATAGTCTTCAGCAACAAGTTGCGAGTTGTTGTAACTTGACTCTGGAGACTGAGGCGCTTCGAAACCAGAAATACTCTCGACATCCTCGGGAACATAATCCTACACATCAGGTTAATAACACCAAACTAGTCTCAGTAACGGTCTTTTCTCTATGTCAGAAAGGTCTCTCTAATCTAATGTCATAAGGCAAATCCTAGCGACCAAATAAAGGCAAATTGAAATTAAAATGCTAAAGAATAACAGGAACAGCATTAAAGATAGCTCAGATAAGAGAATAATGGGCACTGAAAATATCACTTTAAACTCCCGAATGCTTCATCATCACAGCTTTTTAACGTATCCAGTTTTACCTACTAGTTTTGAAATTTGCTAACCAGTTCAGAGCCTTAAGTCCTAGTAAACACATTTCAGGTCAAAAATTGGGAACCGCAAACGGAAACAATGAGAGACTTTAACCACCAAAAGTGCAGACATCAAGTTTTCTTTTCGATGCATAATCCTTTTGATAACTTTCCTCAACAAAGATCAACATCCGTGGAAGTTCATAAATGGTTCTTAACTTCTGAAAAGAAATGGCAAATTATGATTCTACATACCAGGACATGCAACACACAGTATCAGCAAGAGAGCAATTCTGCTTTTTTAATTTTAACAGCTCTTACAATTACTCTGTACAAGTCGTTGATACAATATCTGATTAACATACAAATTCAATCTAGATTGCAATCTTTTATCTTGCAGCGGCTTCTGCAAAAACTTACTTTACCTCAAAAGAAAAACTTTCAAGATGATGAACACAAATTTTGAGAGAGAATCAAGACAAGGGTCATATTATTACCTCCAAGTCAAGAATGTTGCAGGCGTTGCCCATTTCATCTTGTATCCAGGGCATGTCAGGGAGATACCTCCATTGTCCGTCAACAATGAACCTATACTGATAGACACCAGATGGAAGCACTTTCATAACGGTGAAATCTTTCCCAGATTTCTCCAAAATTGTCCTGTGTAACAGAAAGATAAAGAACAATGAGGTAATCTTCTGTTATGTGAGAAAATCCTGAATATGTTTAATCTTTTTAACTTGCCTAGTTTTCCAATTATCCCAAGATCCTTCCACAAAAACTTCCTTCCCGTCATGACTCCATGTGATCATTGTCGGGATCCCTTGTTCGTAATACATATTGTCATGCCCGGACATAGAATGTAGCATCCATGATGGACCCGGAACTTGCATTTCATCAGGCCTTTGTAAGGGAACAACGGGCATCTGGGCACAGGAACAGCCAACCAAACAGATGAACAGAAAAAATCACAACAGCCCCTTACAAGTCTACTATAGCTATTACGAACAAAATAGAGATCACTTTTGGGTGAACAAAAGTGAATCAAGTGGATGCAAAAAGACTTTTACTGATTATGGAATTCACTTTATGATCTCTGGTTTTCAATTACAATTTCCCTTCAAATCAAACATCGAAAGAACCCATGAAAACTATACTTGCCCCGCATTGATTATAGTCCAAACTTCTAGCCATGTTTCTAATACTCCAATAGTCAATGTGAAAGAAAGGAACAAATTTACACTATGCCAAAGCTTCTCAAGACCTCAAAAATTCAGAACCAAACCAAATACACAACTCTAATCGGATTAAATTTTCCTTCTTCATTTTCCAAGTTTGCCAAGATTTTAATTCATCGGAATAGCATGCTTAATTCAGATCTGCCCATGAATATATCCAATGCCATCAGACTACAGAGGGGGAAAAAATTGAAAAGAAACACAAGCCCCAAAATTGATCAGAGCCCTCAAATTCATTACCAAACCCACAGATAATGATTGCACCATTGAAAAAAAATGATAACAAAATAAAAACGAAGGAAACTTGCCTGAGGCCTGAACATCAGAGGAGACTGAGAAGCCCTAGGACTTGGAGGGGGTGACTGAGCAACCCCCATGGCCATAGTAGTATCGTGGGCAATGACATCGGCAGCAACAGCGGCGGGGGGAGCGCCTTCTTCAACCTCAACCTCCACTCCAGAAGGGCTGCTTCCACCGCCCCCATCATCCTCCCTTCCATTAACATTCCCCATAAATAAATAGAAATAACCAAATCAATATTAACCGATGAAGAATTAAGGTTGAATCTTTAGCAAAACCCCAGAGAGAAAAAGGGACTGAATCTTTGGGAAAACCCCAGGGAGGAGGGTGAATCTTTAGGCAAAACCCAGAGAGGGAGATTGAAAAGAAAAAAAGAAAAAAGAAGGAATCTTTATGGAAGGGGAAAAAAAAACACACACACACACACGCACACATAGAGAAGAAGAAGAGGGACTAGAATTAGGAGAGGGTTATATTATCATCACACAACATATTCTTATATGGAATTTGGAATCCAAAGAAAAGGAAAAAAAAAAAAAAAAAAAAAAGGGTTATAATGTTGTGTGTTTATATATGTGATGATGATGGAGACCGTCAATGATGCTGACTGGGATTGAATTGATTCATCAGAGAGAGTGAGTGAGAGATTGATCAATTTTTAATGGGAAAGGGGGATTGGGGAAACATCCCAAAAGTGGAAAATTTTTGTGGAAATTTGATTTGAGAGAGTTTTTTTCATAACTTAAATCCTGCGATTATATTCAGATTTACCAAAAACAAATCGAGGATTATTATAAGTATACCATTATTATTTCCCCTACTTTCCTGAGTATTTTCATACTCCCTATTATTTTGTGTGGATTTACTCAGTTTTAAAACTCTATGATGGCCTTTTTCCTTTTTTTTTTCAGATTTTCTGTAAGTACAGTATTACAAATTTACAATAACTGAAAAACAATCAAAATTTCAATCAATAAGATTTTTAAGCAAGAACAAAATACATATTAATTATCATAATGATCTTTGTATTATAGTTTTACTAGTTGAAAGTAATTAAAATACACATAAGTACATTCACAACATAATTCACAAAAGCGTTTCCAAGTGCAAAAATAAGATTTCGTAAAAATATAAAAATAAAAAAAGAAGAAGAAAAGAAAAGGTGTTGGAGATGATTAATGTAATTTTACAATTTCCTACAATATAAAAAATATCAAATTTATTTATTTTGTGTTACTAAACCAAAGATCAGAGAATGTTTTATTCTTAGTTATTTTATTTTGTCCCAAAAAAGGAAAATATTTGTTTTAACGGGGAAAAAAAGGCAAGAAAGTATTCCTAAATCCTAATCCTGTGATTTTGGAAAGTTAATTATTTGTTGTACAATTTTTTTTTTTCATATTGCAGGGTGTCCACCGCCGACAACAGTGATTAATTCCCCTCGCTCATGGTAGGCACCTCGATGATTGGGAGAGCTGACAAAAGGATCCTTAAAGGTTGTTCCATTCTCATAGTGAGATTCGAGCCCCTCGACCTATGATTAAAGGTAAAAGAATTCTTACCGCTACATCACAACCCATTTGTACAAGTTTCAATGTGGAAAAGAAAATTGCAAAAGTGGGTTTTAGAAGGTATGGTCCAAAAGTACAATCATATGCTTCGTGGGTTCTGATAATTCCATATGTCGGAATAATAATCATAATAATAATAATAATAATAATTCTAAAGCCCACAAACGCAAACAATCATAATGTACTAGTACTGCTTTACTCCACTCTCCATCTTACTTCATCACTGTAATAATCATTGCTTCCCCTATTTTCAATAATGACGTTTCTTTAAAGGCTTGAGTTTGTGTTTTTTTCTCTAAAAGAGCAGAGTCTATTAACAGTTTGAATTTATACGACTATTTCAAAGTGATTTAAATAAATAGGATCAACAATGATGGATACATTCAGGGTAAAAGTTCAAAGAAAAAAACGCATGATGATTTATAAAGTGTTGCCTTTGGCAATTTATATGGTGAAATTCACTATATATGGTACACTTGTTTAATTAATAGATTTAATTATGAAATAAAAATTAATAAAAATAGGGTGAACTATATTTTACCCCCCGAGTTTTACCCCGATCTATTGTAAATCTCCTGAGTTTTAGTAATACTACCATATACCCCTGAATGGGGGTTAAACATTAAAATGATAAAAAATAATCATGGTTTATATACACTTCACTTTCTTCTTTTTTTTGTTTTGTTTGTTTTGCTTCGTTTTTTTACCATCATAAATGAAAAATTCTTAATTTATAATTTTTACATTTAATTATAATACAAGTTTATAAATAAAAATCAATTTATGATTACTAATATAAGTTTATATTATACTTCAGAAAGATAGAAGTTTATTAAGATAATTTTTTTCAAAGATATGAGATAGTTAAATTCAAAAAATTTATTATTTAAGTACATTAATATAAAAAAATTAATACGGAGTATTTTTTAGCTTAATTTATTTTATATTTTTAAAAATATTTAAATTCTATAATTTAAAAAATTAGATTGAAGGGTACTTTTGACCGTTTACACAAATTTGATAATGATACTAGTATCGTTAGGGGGTATTTTGTAGGTTGACTATGAGTCAAGGGGGTATATGGTAGTCTTTACCAAAACTCGGGGGGGTTTATGGTAGTTTAGGCCAAAACTCGGGGGGTAAAATGTAGTTTACCCATAAAAATATTATTGAATTGATTCATTCTCCCTCATCATTATTACATTTAATTATGAAATATCATGTTTTCAAATATAAATATTCCAAAATCTCTTCTATTCATAATTACTAACGTTGATGGTGCGGTCCTTGGTCAATCCAGGGGATGACACCTAAATTACCTAAAAGCCCTGCAAAATAGGATTAGCACTCCGTTGCTTAAGTCAGAATCCTTAGAGAGAGAAATGGAAAGTATTAAGTGCTAAAACTAGATAGAGAAAGAACCTCCTTAAAATGACTTGGGATGCTTTACGATAGAGAGAGAAATGGTAATCGCACCACACATCGGCAGAAGCATTTTTGGCGGCCGGCTCAGGGTCTCCCTTTTGCACTTGAAGTACTTTGCAACGCGGCTTGGTAAGGGACAAGTACCGGTCCAAGCGAGATGTGCGATCGCGATCGCGTTGCCTACCAGGATCTTGACCCCAAAATGGGATTGACGCATCCCTGCCACCAAACAGTTCTTCTGCGTGACGCGTAGATTCTTCGGCTCGAACCTCTTTCTCGACCAAGCGCCATAGAGCTTGACTGGTGGGGGGAAAAGTCCTTGCCCAGATCCCTCTTAAACTGCTCCGTCGGACCAAACAGGTTCAATCTGTTTATAAAGGTCTGGCGTAGGACGAGGTCATCCACATGGTCTATGAGCAAGACTTCCTTGGTGTAACGTGTGTAAAACTTTGTTAGAGATTCATGGCGTCCCTGTCTCATCACGCCAAGATCATTCATGGTCTTCACCACCGTTTTGAACTGGAACAAACGGGTGTGGAGTTTTTTCGCTCAAGTCCGTGTAGGAAGGAATGTTGTCTGGGGGTACGAGTGAAACCAGAACTTAGCGATGCTAGTGAGAACATTTGGTAGGGTATTGGCCATGTAATCGTGATTAGCATTGTGCAGTCGCATTGCGCTGGTGTAGTCGGCTAGGAAGGAAACTGGGCATGACTCGCCAACGTACTTCTTGATATCGCTTGGCATCTTGAAACCTTCTGGCATCTCGGCAACCATAATGCGAGAACAAAGAGGGCCTGAATTCAGGGAATCAGCAAGAATGACAGCGAGATGTGAGTCAGATGAAACAAGGCTGAGGACCTCCGGCACACGAGCTCTCAGACGATCGCCGATCGTTACTCGAGGTCCCAATCTATCAGTTACAGCTAGACGCGGCCCAAGGCGATCGTGGGCGGGGATGCGGGTCGCATGGCGATCTACCCGTGCACAGGTACTGTATGCTCCGTTCTGGGTCATCTTCCTCGCGACCCTGCAGCTCTTCGCGTTGCGACTCCTGGAATGCCTTGAACTACTCCAGCACCACTGGGTGTGCCCTGGCGAACTCCCGCCACTAGTCGTCGAGGGGAGGGTCACAGGGATTACCCCAGCGACCCGTGGACTAATAGGAGCTCTCTTGCAATGTTTCAAGTTCCTCCTGCAAGTTGGACCCTTTGTAAGTATCTGTTATTTGCTTGCCAGTGCGGCCGCGCCTGGCATCTTGCTTTGTTGGGGCCGTTTGCTTTGTTGGTACAGGGTCCAGGGGGCGACTGTCCCTAGGCTCCTCAGGCCTCTGCCGTGTGGATACCATTGGGGTCTAGGCGCACCAATCAAAAAAAAAGAAAAGAAAAGGTTTAACACAAAGAACGGGGACGCGCTCTGTGTATTACAGGGGTCCCCACAATCGGCGCCAATTGATGGTGCGGTCCTTGGTCAATCCACGGGACGGTGCCTAAATTACCTAAAAGCCCTGCAAAATAGGGTTAGCACTTCGGTGCTTAAGTCAGAACCCTTAGAGAGAGAGAGAGAGAGAAAGTATTAAGTGCTAAAATTAGATAGAGAAAGAACCTCCTTAAAATAACTTGAGATGTTTCATTTTATAGGCATAATATGGAATATGGAATATTCCATGAGCACATAGGTGCACATGTGTAGGAGTTGACCTTTCATGAATCTTGGGCCATGGCTGTCAAAGTCCGATGAGGCAATGGGCCTCCATTGCCCCATCAAACGTAATTTAAAAATTAGAAAAAATTTAAATCCAATAAAAAATCATGAAATATTGATATATATATATATATATGTCATCAAAAATATTATTCTAAATCATGAATATTTAATGGAATGAGTTTGAACTATGAATATAAGAATTCGTAAAAATTTTATTAAATAATTTTCTTTTATTCGTATAAAAATTTGCATAATTCGCATGAACATTATCTCATATAGGTATGAATATGGTCTTTAAATTTCTTATTTGCATTAATCTTCCAATTATCAAAAAAAATACCTGAAACTTGGATACACTTAATATGAAAAGTATGACAGTTATTCATGAACATTTCATGAAATGGGTATAAACATTTATTGTATGCGTGATTATTTTATTAAAATTTCTCTAATTTTTGAAACATGGATACACTTGATATAAAACATATGACTGCTATTCATGAATATTTTATGAAAAAAATGAATATTTTATTGTACACGTGATTAATTTATTAAAATTTCTCTAATTTGTATGAACATTTCACATAATCTTTATAAACAATCACAGTAAATGTATGAATTGAGGATTAAATAGATAAAAACCTTTAATTTGTGATTATGTGTACAATTTTTCAATCAAAAGCTATGAATTATATATATATATATATATATATATATATATGAGTAGGGGTTGGGACCGCACAAGGTGCGGTCTGACCCGTGGAACGTGAAGGTTTTAGGTATTGGTATTCTTGTTGAATTGGTATGTTCTTTACCCTGGAAAGAAGTCTTTAAATTGATAATTCATTGAACGGTATAATCAATAATAAAGTTGAATAATTGATAGATTTAATAGATTTTCATTAAGTAGGCGATTGATGTACTTGTTACAATTTATATAAAAGTAAAAGCAACTTAATATCAAGAACGTAGAATTGAATACAACATTCTGCAAATATCAACAAGACAATCAATTGACAGAAGTTATTTTCCTAAAGTAGTATGACCTTAGATTTCAAGTCACTTTCTAAATTATCAGGTTCCTTAAAGGGATACGATCCTTCCAACATCACATATAATGTTACGCTACATGACCAAACATCTGCTGAATTTGAAATTGGAGATATAGTTTAAGAACAAAGAAAGTTACTTAGAATCAGTTCCCTTATTTATAGTACATACTTTCCCATTATATTTCTTTTTTTACAGGAACTTAGATGCTATATATGCGGGTGTTCCCACCATTGATTTGGGCTGTGAGTGCAGCAATCCAGACTGCAGGAAATTGCATCATGTAACCTTTGAAGAATACTCTCTCACCCAAGAAAATATTCTTCAGTTTCAAATTCCTATGGTAAATTTTCTGAAGAGAAATAAACCACTATCAGGAAATATATACGGATTAAAGAAGCAGTTAATCATATGGTGAACATGACACATTACAATCTATATTTGACAGCAAAAACCAGATCTTTGCTATAGAATCCCATTTCATAAACTGATAATGTAAACTAATTAATGCACATTAGATGGATGAAAATACCTTCTTTTCTCTCTTAATGTATTTGAGAGCAAGAAGCTCTTTGGTCTTCTTATTTCTGAGAAGCCTTGCCACTCGGAAATTTTCAGCACCAAGATCCTTTAATGTCTCGTACTTTTCGCACAAAACTGAAATGAGGTTGGCTTTATTTGGTGAAACCAATAGGCCTATAATGCATTGTTTTCTTATCCTGTTAACATGTCAAGATTGTGAGGTGAAAAAAAAGTGCTTTTTGGAGTGAGCTCCGCAAGTAGAAATTCAAATTCATTGCAGGAATGCAATTTATTTTCATGGAGGTTGGAGCTTTGGACTATACCCCATTGGATACATTCATAGCCAATGAATCCAAATACATACATGGAGAAGACTACAAAAAAGTATCCGGTTCCTAAACAGAAAAACGATTGCACATTTAGAGTGCTTGCCCTCAAATACAAATAGACAATATCCAAAAAACAGAGTAATTGCTAATTAAAGAACTAACAAAGAGTAATGTTTTCATACCTTAATACCTATTGATAGGAACAACAGAGTTGTAATGTTCACCAAGACCGAATGCATGCTGATGGTAAGAAAGGTTGATGCTTCCCATCTCTACATTAGGGAAGGATCCTGAATAGATCATGATATGTTTCTTCAAGCAGTGAGTTAGTGCTCTGAGTTCTAACTGTCCACCCCATGCTGCGGTTGACTCCACATCTTTACAATAACTTTGAAACCTCTCTGCAATCTTATTATCAAATTCTCCCTCTTCAGCATTCTTGGAAAGAAAAAAATGGGAGAAAATCAAAAGCATGATTTCTCATATAGGTTGCCACCATTTGTCAAGCCAAGAGGCTCGAGCTTGTTTTCTAATTTCTCATTTTCTGAAGCTCTCTTGCTTACTATGTTACTCTGCTCTTCTTGAATTCTTTGTTCCCTGGCAACTTTTTGTTCAGCTCTTTTGTCATGCCTCTGAACACTCTTGCTGGGCTTTGACCTTTCAACTTTATTTGTGACTGAAGTTCCAGCTATTGAGTTCATCAAACTGTCAAGTTGACCTTTTTCTTTACCATCATTGTTGGCACAACCGAGGCAAGTTCCTCCACATGTTTTTGTTTCAGGTTTGCAGAAAGATTGGATATTCCATCCTCCACTTGTTTCTCCTTTGCTTTCTGCTCAGCCTTACTGCCTTTTGCAGCTGCCTTTTTCATTGGCATTTCCTTGTGATGCAGTTCGGAGATCTCCTTCTTCCAGCAACAGTAGATCCAAGCAGTTAACCTGGCAGTTTTAGGATTTTAGAAAACAATGGAGGGAGATAAACTAAACAGTAGATCACAGCAACATGAAACAAGGTCAAAGATCCAGGATGATAGGAAATGGTAATGGATATATAACAAGATGGTTAAAAATTTAAACATAGAATGGAAGAGATAAATACAATAAGCTCAACAACACACTTAATAGAACCAAACAGCAGATTTTGGAAAGATACAACACCTATGCCTAGAAAGCATCTCTTCACGGGTTTCCTGCGACACATTTTCTGAGATGTCCGGAGATGGTTTGTTCTCTGTCTCAGATGTGCCCATTTGGAACTCTATATGAAAATAAAAACAGTGTCAGCTTTAAAACAAATGTCACATTTGATGAAGATAAAACAAAAATAAGATAATCATATAGAAATTGTATATCCCAAGAACTGATGAGAGGAATACAGACTTATTATAAAAATCATAAAATTTCCTATCCATCTGTAGAAGAAATTTTACTTCCAACACAGATGGGAGCCTTTAAACATTAGAACAAACAGAAACAAAGAGCAACAATTTATATAGATACCTTAGTTGCTATGTTGCTATGTTGAATTCTGTTGCTAGTATGCCTCATTGTTCTCTTGATTTGTCAATATTGTTCTTTGCCAACCTAAAAGTACAAGGAAGAAAAAATAGTCAACGAATAAGAGACAGTAAAACAATGATCAACTTTCAAACAACCAATTGAAAGAAATTTAAACAAAGCTCGATGAAAAACAAAAGCAGGAATATCAAGCAAGGAAAGCATTGCATTAAATGTGGTACAACTAACAACCTTGATATAAGACATATATTTAGCACCATCACGAAGCTGAATATTGCGCTTCTGCACTTTCTCTCCTTTCTTGGACATCACTGCCACCTTTGAATTATCAAATAAGTTTTTAACATTGCTGTCTGAGAAGACCTTCCTGGCCCAAGAAGAGGAGTTTTGTGTGGCAACGCCATTATCCACAGGATCATGAGTTACAGTACCATGCAAGTGCATTCTCACTTCAATATGTTTTTTAGACCTGCAATACATTTTTTCAATATTCAATCGGATATAAAAGAGAAGCAAGCTTTGCAGAAAAGACTAAATTGAAATACAAATGAGATGCTGACAGAATCCAACAAGCTGCAACACAAAAGTAAAAATAATTTATGAAGGGTAAGATTTTGTACCTGCGGGAAGAATACTTCTCAGCCACGATTTGACAATGATGATTACTGAATATAATACAATAGTGGAAGCACTATTTTTTATTGTTGTGGTGTACTGTGTTGATACAGAGTTTGAACAAATGATAAAAGTATGTTTCAATCAATGCTTGTTGCTGCTAAAACTTCACGGTAGACAACATTTTTAGTCCAGTCAGTGTTTTGTACCAAGGGTGTTGTTGGTATGAATAAGACCTTTATCTGTTCAGTAGTTTTTGCTCTTGACAATGCAACATAAAGCTGACCATGGGAAAATACTGGTTCTTTTAAATATACACCAACAAAATCTAAAATCTGTCCTTGTGCCTTATTGATTGTCATTGCAAAACATAAACACACAGGGAATTGTTTTCTTTTGAATGGAATTGAAGAAAAACTTTCTTGTGGAGCTTCTATTGTTATTCGAGGAATAAAGGCATACTTTCCCGTGTATGGACCAACTGAAATTCTAGCATAAATAAGATTTGGAGTAAAATCTAGACAAAGAAGACGTGTACCATTACATAATCCTTCAGTAGGATTAATGTTTCTAAGTAAAATGATAGGTGGATTCTTTTTTAAAACTAACCTATGTGGTGGTAGTCCCTGAGGAGTCAAAGTGTGGAATAACTCTTCTTGGTCTGGTATTGAGCAGCTAGTTGTAGTCTCGTCACATCCTAAATAAATAGTTTTTTCACCAAGGAATTTTTCAATTATAGTCTCATTAATGTCTTGTACAAATTCATTTCTTGTAGTAAGTATAGCTCTTTTTACATATGGAGAAATATCAAAATCAGAAGTACTAATACCAGGAAAAACTATGTCTATTAATTGGTTTAACGATGTAGTATCATCTATGAAATTGATGTTTACCTTTGATGGTACTCTGATTTCACCTCTTTCATTCGTCTCTTCTGTTCCATCACCGATTTTCAACAAGTAAGAACAAAATTGAGGATCAAGTAATGCTCTCATATTTGTTTCAGTTTTAGTTTCTCAATTTGATTCCACAGAAGTGACATTATAATGGAAGCATTAATGGTATCTTCTTGTGTGCCTTTTACAATCACAAGTAAGGTTTGATAAAAGTCGCCACCAAATACAACAATTTTACCACAAAAAATAAGATTTGAGTTCATTATATCTCTAAGCATCGCTTCAAAATTTTCAATGATACTACGATTTGCCATTGTAGCTTCGTCCCATATGACCAACTTTGTAACTTTCAATAGATAAGCTAATGTACTTTGTTTTTTAACATTACAGCATGAAGATTCTTTTTCATGCTAATTTTGTCATTACTGTTTGAAATTTTTGTTAATTCCACCCAACTGGCCCAATTTCTATTAAATCTAACGGATTTTCGGTAGTTTTTAACCAAAAACACCCTGATAGTTTCACAAAACTGTAAAAATAACCCTAAAATATATAAAAATAACAAAATAGTCCCTTTTTAAATATTTTTTTCTATTTATTTTATTTCTCTTTATTACTTTTCATAACCATAAAAATATACTATATGATCTTTAAAAAAATACTTATTTATTTTTAAAATCTATTTTTCATGTGCAATACATGTGATTTGGGTTGAGGGGTAATTTTGTCATTTTAAATTTTTAAATTTTTAATTTTTTTTATTCGTCTTCTTTTGAGATTTTTTTTTCACTTATATTTCCTGACTTGTAGATATGGATACTAGAACAATTATTAAATTTTAATAATTAATTTACTATTTTATTTCATAGATTATAAAAACTTTAACATGAAGAAAATGAGGAAAAAAAACTTAAGTTGAAATAAACATAAAAATTAATAGGTTATCATTCTAAACAAAAAGTAAAAAAACTTTTTTTAAAAAATGCAAAGACAAGTGTTTTCTCCTTAACTTCCTCTATTTCATAGGTAAGTTATAAAACATAAATTTATTTGATCTAACCTAAAACTATCATTTTGTTCTTTGTAATAAAAATAATACAAGTCAGGTAATATAATTTAGTAATTGTTTTACTAAAAATTACACGTATTTATCTTTTTCATGAAATTCAATAATTGCTTATGTAGTATAGCAACCGCCAATCGGAAAAAAAAATATTTAAAAAGAATATAAATAGTGTTAACCAAATTTACAGAAATGCATCAATGTGGACTAATTAAATTAGCATCTTTTCACGTTTCAAATGATTGTCTAATTTTTATATTATTTTTATTACAACGAACAAAATAATTATTTTAGACTAGATCAAATAGAATTTATATTTCGTAACTCACCTATGAATTAGACGAAGTCGAGAAGGAAAGACTTGTCTTTGCAGATTTTTTCAATTTTTATTTAGAATGATAATCTATTAATTTTCATATTTATTTCAACTTGATTTTTTCTTCCTCATTTTCTTTATGTTAATTTTTTTATAATATATGAAATTAAAAGGTAAATTAATTATTGAAATTTAATAATTATACTAGTATCATATATACAATTCAGGAAATATAAGAAAAATAATCTCAAAAAATAACAAATAAAAAAATAAAATTAAAAATTAAAAATGACAAAATTGCTCCTCAACGCAAATCACATGTGTTGCACATGAATAATAGATTTTTAATATTTTTTAAAGATCATATAGTATATTTTGTTGGTTATAAAAAGTAATAAAGAGAAATAAAATGAAACAGAAAAAAAAAAGAATAAAAGGGGATTATTTTATTATTTTTATATTTTTTAGGGTTATTTTTATAATTTTCTAAAACTATCGGGATATTTTTGGTTAATAACTAACGAAAGCCCGATAAGTTTAATGAAATTTAGGCCAATTGGACAGAATTGACAAAAATTTTAAACAGTAAAGATAAAATTAGCTAATAAAAAATTAATAGGGTATATCCCAAAGTTTTGTCAATAATCTAATCGTTGGCGGACGGAACGTCCCCTTATCGAATTTGGACCCCCAAACCCAATTGTTTTTCATATTGGTTTATTCAAGAGTCCAGCCCATTTAGGCACGGTTGATTTTATGCTGTATTCCTTACCCACTTCCGCCGCGCGGAGGAGTTGAGGAAGGAAGCACTCTCAATTCTGAGCGCAAGTCCAAACCCTCCCCATCCAATCCAATTCACAGGTTTTTGCTCTTTTCTCCTTTTCTCTTGATGACTTTCGCTTTTGGTACATTTCCCATATTTTCTTGTTGGGTTGTGGGGGAATCATTTGTTAGTTGTTCCGTTTTTCTATTGATGAATTATGATACGTAGTCAATCGTGCATTCACATTGTTCTTACAACATTTTTGAAGTCAAAGGGAAGGAAGCCGGGGGATTGATTTTCTTATGGTGGCAAAGTTTTGGCTTTTTATTGAGAGATTGATTATTCCTTGCACAGTTTCATCACCGGGGAATATGAATGAATGTGAAGAAAGATTGAATTTTTACCAATTTTTTATGTGCGAAGGTTTGGCTTTTGTCGTCGGATTTTGGTTTGTTATGTTTGTAATCAGCGTGTTTAGGGTTGCTGCTGATTAAAGGTTGAGGTCGAAATATGGAGATTCTTGAATTTATATGCTTTGCTGTATTTTTTTTTTTTTTCCCCGTCCAACTTCACTCTCTTCCTCAGAAACCCATAAAAGAAAGAGGATTTTCCTACTTTTTTGGAAGCAAATAAGACATGAAGCTGAATTTGCTACATGAAAGCTCTGATGGTTTCTAATTGTTAAAATTGAAAATAACTTCTTTTTTATGGCAATATTTGATCTTTCATATCATGTTGAGCAACCCTGATCATGTGAATGAACTTGAATGGAAGAAGGATCTAGTCACAATTGAGGTTCTTGTGAGTCTCTGGCAATAATACTTCACTAGTGTTTTCCAATTCCTATATCTCTGCCGGCACATTGTGAGTCAACGTGGCCAGGGAATTCCTTAACATGTTCTTTTTTATGGTCAGATTGTCCGAAGATGCAAAGCCTCAGATCAACCATTTTGAGTTATGCGCGGATTAGAGTTTCTACCTCCAGGCAGTTGTTTCCTCGAGATGAGAATATAGTACACAGACTCCTTAATATGCAACTGCAGGCATGCAGCTTATCTTCTGATACCACCACGAAGGGTCAAATACTGGATCGCGTTATTGCATTGGTGAAGAAGTCTTACAAGATTGACGCCACTAAGGTGATCGATCAGATTTGATCGGGAAAAAAGAACTTCTCGCTTAGTTCATAGCAAGTGAATTGAATTTCTTTTATCTTGCTGATTGATTAGAAGAATGATGGTTGTGTTTTATGTGGCAGGTCACCGAGACAGCTGATTTCCAAAAGGATCTGAGCCTTGACAGTCTAGATAGAGTTGAACTCATCATGGCCTTTGAGGAAGAATTCTCCATCGAGATACCAGATGAGGAAGCAGATAAGTTGAAATGTTGCGCAGATGTAGCTAACTACATCATGTTGTCTGAAAGCGGTCCCAAAAGTGCGGACACTTCCTAATTAGAATGGCCACGTGCTTCTTCAGGAAGCTATGTGTAGTAGAGATTCATTTGAAATTGTGAATTGATTACTTTGGCAGGTTCCTCAGTTTTGCGAAATCTATACAAATGTTGTTATGATGTCTTTCCATAATGTTGGTTGAGGTTTAAAGCTGTGGTAATCAATCCATTGTTTTTAGTGGACAAGAGTACAATGTATTTCATGGGCACTATCTTCTGTATATACACACTGCAACCACTCGCCCTTGGAATGGCCATCAGAGTTTAAGGGGAAGGGGAGGAAAAAGAAACAGAAAAGAAAGGGCAAAGTGTTGAAAAAACCGCAGCTTTGTTGTGACTGAAGCGCCTCCAAGACAAAGCAGGGATGAAGATGAAGAAATGCGGTCTCAGTATGTGTGTTTCCTGGAATTCTTGGACCGATTCTTCCTGCATAATGTACCCGAAGGTCTATTGGTGGTAGTCAAGTTGATGGTATCGGTGGTGTAAGTGCGGGACCCGGCATCATCGATGGTTCGCAAGGAGATTCCTTTGTGTTTGCCTCTGAAAGCATGCCTGCATTGGGAGTGTTTTGGGAGGCTGAGTACTTTGAGGAGGCAAGCTTGCTCAAGATTAGGGTGGGCATGGAGATGAGAGGGAAGGTGAATAAGGAAATCGCCGTATTCATCAGTTGTGCCTCTTGCCCATGACTTCTTTGATGATCTTCTTCCTCCAATATTGTTGTGATTGCCACACATAACAGCTACTGATGCACCTGCAACACCCAAAATCACATTCCAGATTATATAGACTGACACTGGGATTTTGTAAAATGTCTCAGAAACATAAAATGGCCCAGTCGGGATTTTTCGTAAAATTCTTTCGGGCGTCCCAAAAAATAAGAGTCTTATTTATTTTACGAAATAATTCAACAAACATGATTTTCTTTTTAAGTTTTTGGAATGGAGGTAGTTGGAAAGAATGAGCCAATGATGTTCAATAGGCCAACCACAACAGTTTTCTGACAGTAATCTGTGATTTTGTGGCTCACATCTTTTTCTAACTCACGTTTTAAACCATATCATTGTAGCCATTGCATACCACATTTTCTTACTGCAACGTGTAATAAGTAAAATATTTAGGCTACTTTTTTTTCCCCTTTCTCTGTACAATAATAATAATCAAATGGAGTAGTTTTTTTAAAAAAATTTTGGGTAAAAATAATATCTATGCCAGATTTCAAAATTAATATGACTTATGTGCAAGGTTGGAAAAAAGTAACTAATAAACAATTAGTTACCACAATTAGCTACTCTCTCCACTCTAAAATAATAAAAAATAGGACAATTATTTTGCGACGAAAAGAATAATATATAAAAATAAATTTATGGTTTCCGTGCAAAATTTATTTGACACAAGAAACAAAAACCCGACCCGAGGGTGGGATTCATAGGCAGTTTCGAAGAGTATTTACAGCTTTGGTTTGAGTTATTTAAGGTTTGGCACACAAGCACAAAGGTTGTTTTATATCATAACATAAACGTGATGAGGAGCTCCACAATTCTTTTTACCCTTTTTATTTTTTTTGAAGACCAAATCAAAAGTGTTTTCTTTAGTCACTTGACTACACTTGATTAAATCAGTAGCTATTCGCACAGCTTATGATTTATCCTACTTTCAAATGTTTATATTAGAGAAACTCTCTTTATTTTAGCTTCTTTTTTTTTTATTTTATTTTGAAGCAAATCTATATGCGAGCCAAACAAGGGAAAATGTGAGGTGAAAGTAAATAAATAAAATTAATGAAGTAGCACCCTATAGATATCTATCTATAATTGTTGGAGTACTTACTACTGGTAATTGATTGAAGTGAGTTAGTGATATAATTAATACTAGAATTAAAATTAATATATCGGGAACAAGCTCAGAGTTTTGTAACGCCCGTTTCACTTGTTATCCCCGCAACATTTACTTTAAACTCTTTATTATATTTACAGAGCTCAATGTTTTTTGGTTTTCTGATTACCAAATTAAACACGCCAGGAAAAAAAAGAAGCATATGGAAAAGAAAGTTAGAGACATGCAATTTCATTAGAAAACAACCGTAACAGTTGAAAAGAAAACATTAATCGGAGATGATAAGATGCGAAAATTAATGGATGAAACAAATAAATGGTGTAAAAAAAAATTAATGAGGTACTACTACGTAGGTGTAAAATGATGGATCGGCCACCACCACCACCACCACCAATTAAGTTTAGTATACATTAGACTGCATGCAGTATTATTTCCGGATGGTGTTTTTAAGTGTGACTTTTTTCATGTTTCTTTTCGATTCTTACAGAACTTTTATTAAAATCTTAAGAATCTTAATCTCGTCGACACCAAGAAACCAAAACGTAAAAAAAAATATAATGAAATCAAATCCATATATATACATGGTGATTGCAGCGGGCCTGGACAGTAATATAGCGAAATCTGAGATGAAATCAAAGCTACTTTTGTTGCTAGCTCACTCGTAATTAATTTATTTATGAAAAAAAAAGAAGAAGAAAAAGATAGAATTAAGAGGAAAATAAATTTGAAGAAGAGTAAGTGCGTAGGTACCAGAGACAGGGTAAGGTTGTGCATGAGGATCGAGAAGTAGGGCACAAGCATCATGGCAAACCAGTTTCCCGGCAACAATAACCTTTGAAAGCTGCTCCTCTCCATATCCCGCAATCTCCACCAGCTCCTCCCTGCTCGACATCTCCACCACCGGGTTCATCATCGTCATCTCTTCATGCTCGTACGTGGCCGCGGCCGGAACCACGTTCACATGAATCTCTGCCGCCAGGCTGCAGATTATGATTAGGAGCAAGGAAGAAGAAATCATATTGTTGTTCTTCTTCATCATCATCATCATCATCTTTATGTTGTGGTGTGTGTGTTTATAAGAACTTGGAACCAACCGCAAAGAAAGATAGGAAGGAATGAAACTGACGAGGAAAACGAAAAGCTACCCTCCTCTTTTGATGCACACACAATTCATCAATGCCAAAAATTGGGGGAATTTGTGTGTGTGTGTGTGTTTTATTTTAAAAAAATATAGTACATTACGCCTCCTACTAAATTATTTATATAGGCTGGAGGAAGGCATCTGATCTGCTTTGGTTGGCTTGCTCCTTTCACTCGTTTCTTTTACATTTTTGCCCCTGCCCCCTATAACTTCCCCGTACAGTACACCCACTGAGTTATATAGATGATTAATTCAGCACCCAAACCTCATTACTAAACAATAAAGAATACTATTTCATTGATTTAAATATTTTGTTCTAATCTTATAACAATGTATATCGGAATATGTGACATTTTTTTTAATTTATTATTAGACAGTGATAATAATGGAATATATATTCGTTGCATGTATGAGATTGAAGGGGTAGTTTGGTCTTTATAAGAAGAGGTGTAGTAGGTGAACTATTCAAAATCAGAAGTAGATATGAATGGGATGGATATGTAAACAAAAAAAAAAAAAAAGGATAAAACATGACACTAGTACCCAAGAAAATGAAGGGAGTCATACTGGAGTTGTTGGTAGAATTGGAGGGTTAAAGTGGCAAAAATTTGATGATGGCTTGTAAGGGGGTGGTCGGGTTGGGAAATGGAAGGTTAACTGTAGGTTGGTGGCCTACTCTTATCGAGATCGATGGTCAACCCCGCCCCTATTTCTTTAATTTGGTGTTTATATTCATTTATTTATTTATTACCAAAACGAATAAAGGAAAAATATCAACCCCTAATTCGTGTAATTAAGTATATACTTCTTTGTATCAAAGACCTTTTCTAATTTACTGCTAAAAGGAAGCATATGGGGTTGCAAGTTTGGACATGAATATTTAGCAAATGAATTTGATTCATGTTGTGAAAACAATTAATGCTAAGGTAATATTATATTGTACATACATGTGCAGGACCAATTGTAAAGAAAACAATGTGTAGTAATTAACTCTATAGAAGAAGAATAATCAGGTCACACATCAATATATTTACTCTGGTGATGAGTGAGAGTTGTACGGGAAAAGTATATTGTCGAGACAAAATGTTAATATAAATAAATAAATAAAATGGAGGCGTTGAGCAAAGACAAAATATATAGTCAGAACTAACACATATATGGATGATTAGTCAAGCCTACCTTCAACAATCCAAACACAACGTAATAAAATTAAAAACCCTTTGATACGCCTTGTGGAGTTAGGTCAACCAAGTGATGTAAAATTGATGTATGGTAAATAAATTGAATGGGGTGGGGGCGAGACAAAAAAAGATTGATTAGTCTTCTCCACCAGTTAATTAAAAATGTATATATAGTATTTGATTGACCAAAAAAAAAGTTTTCAGGACGAAAACATGATAAAAATGTGAATTCCAAATTTGACGAGTGGAGTGGTGGCACTGCCACATTTGGGCCGGAGGATCTTGGTGGAGTTGAACCAACTATTACTACATTTTATGTTGTTCTTTCCTAGTTCTTCCGATTCTATTGTCTTTGTTTTTTTTTTATTTAAAAAAAAAAAAAAAAAAAGAGAGAAGGAGATTGTCTCAGCTGACTGGCTTTTTTGTGTTGTGGGATTTGGAACCATCTTTCTCTTCTCATCTCATCTCGGTTGACCTGACCATCTCTGATTATCTATCCATGACTTCAGACAGATAAGGGTCAAAATGTCCCGAATGATATAAATTAATTATTCAGCCGTCGCTTGCTTCTTCTTGAATATATATATATATATGCATGCCTTGCACTTTTTTTTTCCTGTTTGATTCTCCCCGTCACTGTCATCAGCTACTTGGAATTCATAGTGTGTTTTGCAACCTTATGTTCCAGAATAATTGTCTGAATTCAGATTTTTCATTTTTAATTCCCCCCAAATTATCATCATTTACTCCATCTCATTAAACTTCTTTTAATTCTGTTTGTTCCTACTACAACACCATTCTCCACTCTAATAAGCTTCTGAATACTGAATTGAACTAACCGCAGAGAAAATGAAATAATGTATGCGGATACAATTATCTTTGTGTACATATTACTCGGCAAACCTTACAAGGCGGGCTTCTTATTTCTTAACATTTCAGTCTAAACATGACCAACCGGGGGTTCACACACAAACACCAATCCCAATCAATCACCAGTTGAGTCCCCATATAAATTGTTTGTTAATAACCACTCAGGCTTTGCCTATTTAAGTATACATAATATGTTTCCTGCCCTAAAGGATCACTCCCCACAGGTACCGGGACAAATCCAGCATACTGCCTGTGTTTCTTTGCTAGGCAAACCTTTGACACGTACTGAAACAACTGGTTTTTCTGCACCATTGGCTGAGCTGAATACTCTTCAAATGGCATCCACTGTCTCAAGAACAAAATCCTATTTAATCAATATCCAACTTCAATACTGAGGCTGAAAACTACAACCTACTTGTACAATTAGGTATTGCGAAATTAGAGGATTTTACCAAACTTTCATTACTGATGCTGAAAAATCCCTAGATTTCATTGTTCCAAGATACTATACAATTAGCTATTGAGAATTAAGGGATTTAACCATGACCAGAAAGCTTGGCATTTCATGTGAATCAAAGTAAATATGTACCTGGGCTGCCTCGATCTCTGCTTCTTGTGGCTGAATTTCAAAGGAAAGAGGTTGCAACATGCAGACGAAGAACAAATCTGACTTGTCGAAGAACGACTTATGACTTTGTCTGAACATCAATCACAAAGTTTGATGTAAAAACGAGATTTCAAATTTTTAGACAAGCTACTAATTAAAGTAGAAATGCCAAGGGAATTAAGTTTGGAATGATACCTGAATGCTAACACTTCCACAAACTTTGCATCAACCTGAAGTGCAAAATTGACATTGAACATTAAAGACAAAATCTCCATGGAATCAACATGAGGCAAAGCATGATTCAAGCGGCGAGAGAAATGTGCCAATGTGAGAACTTACTCCAGTCTCTTCTTTCACTTCGCGGACTGCAGCATCACATATATCTTCCCCCTTTAGGCATTGGAAATATAAAACATTGTCAACATGAGCCCATCCTTTTTCTAATAAAATGCAGATAACTACATAAACCAGTCACTACTGTTATCGCATTTGCGACACCTCAAAACAGAACTTACCAGGCTCACCAACATACCTCATCAACAACCCCCGTCGGGAACTTCCAAACACCTGTTCCACGAAATTTTCCACTCTTTTCTTGGACAACTAGAACCTAAAGGACATAGTTCTTTGACTGAGTTTTTCAATTGAATTTTGGAAGCTGCAGTGACTAGAACTTGTGGGCATTATCATTGTCAGGCATTGCAAATTTTACTAGAGAAGCATGGCAAAATTTAGTGGTTCAACCAAGCATCTGTGCAGCGTGAACCCAAGATCAATTGGAAATGAGAAGAAAGGGTAAACAAGCAGTACCTCATCATTGTCATTCATGACAAAAGCACCAATTCCAACTCGATGTGAGGCATTTGCTGGAAGAGTGTTCGCAACAACCGGAAGCCAATGCACGAGCATCAAATAACTTGGTTCTGCATGGTGGAAATAGAACCCTGCCTGCAGAGAGTAGGCAGCACGGATTTAAGTTGATCCAAAGAAGCAAAAATCCCCCCAAAGAACGAATGATTATTTCAAGTTACAAAATGAACAAACCTTAACAGCAGGCTCAACAAGATTAACAAGTTCAATTGGCAATTTGATCCAGACACCTTTTTTTCCCTGCAAAGTCCATCTATGATCCAGTCACAATAAAACACGAGTAACTAATCCATTTTGAGTGTTCATAAGATAACGCCAACATGATAGCCAATGATGCAGATTTGAGTAGCTTTAAATGAAAATGCATAACAGCAAGCATTCTTTTTGGTACAAAACACAGTAAGAAATGAGCAGTTCATCTTATAACTAAGATATCGTGGTTATGCTTTCCTAGTAAGAAATTAAAAAAGACACACCATCCACATTTATCTTCACAGTCTAATCTTGTAATGTTTTGAATGGAACTCCCATAAAACATTTATTTGCATACAAGTCACTACGCAAAAGCATTGTCCAAAGAAGGGGCAAGAAAAATCTACTTCCCGTTGGCTCTAATTGGCGTAGTTTCATATAAGAGTAATAAGAATACGAACTTGGTAACGCTGCAGCCTCACATATTGGATTTCCTTTCCAGAAACAGAATGCAGCCCATACAAGTGAACCCAAATTCTTAAGTGTTGTTTAAAATATAAAGCATGAAGAAAGGGTATTGAATTGGTGCATAGTATTTTTCAGGTGGTTCATCAGAGCTTATCATTAAGGACCCTTTGCAATTGACTCATAATACAAGCGCCGTATCAGCTAGTCAGTTTTAACAAGGGAGTAACTTTTTTTAATGAATTCTTATGTTAATTTGAACAGACCTTCCCTTAGAGACTAGATGGCAGAGGACGATTTTCTCCAAGGATACGCGACAAAAAATTAGCTCGAGAATAATAACACCAGCATAGTGAAAATTTTCCATTTGCAACTTTGAATGAATGAAACAGCCCAAAAGCTACACACTTTTTATTTTTATTTTTTTTCACCAATGGAGAGAGCTACGGGAATCAAAACAGATTATGTACAAATCTTCGTGCATAAAACAGAAAATCGGTGATTGAATGGGAGGTACCAAGTAGCAACCTGGCGTTTCCAGTCGGAAATAGAAGAATGGAGTAAAGAAGTAAAGAGGGAGGCGTCCAAGGGCTCCTTGGTCATTTCGACAATCACACCCCCGTGCTCATCTTCTACTCCCTCCAATATCCGTTTCACCTGTTGCTGCTGCGGCGACTGAGACGCGGCGGTGATGGAGCTCATCGGAGGACGACGTGGTGCAGATTTACTGGTCGATCCTGGTCCAATGGTGATATTATTTCATCAATTCAGCCAACTATCGGAGCTCTTTTTCTTTTCCTTTTTCTAAACCGATTGATATATTTTTTGAGATAAAAGACAAAAGCCCTCATGAAACAAGATGCACCATACAATTATTTGTTCCAGAATATTATTAATGTATACATCCCAACGTTTATACCCTGCTAGTGAATCCATCCCTACGTTTTAGAATTGACTAATTACGTCTCAAGGTTATCAAAATTGAGCAGATCCACCCCATGACCTACAAACCAACAAAAGTGACTTGGTATAACAGGTAAAATCATTTGGATCCCATATTTAACATTTTTACTTCTGTTTTTTGAAGTTTTTTTTAAATTTTTTAGTTTCTTGAAACAAAAACAACATTCATAAATGGAGAAACTAAAAATTTAATTTATTTGTAATGAATCTAATTTATTTTATAATCAGATTCATCTTAATTTTTTGATAAAATTTAAACAAACTTTCCCAAAAAAAAATTTATTTTGAGTGAAAAATAGAATGATTATACTTTCACACACACGTATACAAAAATTAATTAATTTTGAGTTTATCCAAAATTATAAATTATTTCATTTGTGATGCTTAAATTATTTTGATTAATTAAGTAAGTTTTTTTATTTTTTTAATATAGAAATTTTGTTTGTTTTTTAATGAACTAAAAAATAACAAAAAATTAAAAAAAATGAAAAAAAAAGAATAAATATGAGACCCAATAGATTTTTACCTGTTATATCAAGACATTTTTGTTGTTTTGCAGGTCATGGGATGGATATGCTCAATTTTGATAACCTTGGGACGTATTTGATCAATTTTAAAATATTATGATGAATTAATACATTGGTGTAAACGTTGGGATGTATCCACTCATTCACCCTTATTTGTTCACACCATATAATCAGTTTGGGATTTTTTTAAAAATATATTCATTCTTACAATCCAATATATCCTGCAACAACACATAAGGGATTTTCTTGATATATGAATTCATCAATCGTAGGAAGATATTATTGAAGTCCATTTTTTATACTTGTCCCACATTTTGTCCATCCCTTTATTGTCAATTGGTTTTGAGATAGAACTTCTGGGACTTCTATATGATATCAGAGCGGTCTTAGCATTTGGTGAATTTTAGTCCACGGTTATCTACGGTTATTTCTCTGACCCAACCGTGTATTTGGTAATTTAGTCTAAAATATTGGGCTTAAAAGAGAGTATTAAAACCTTTTATTATATTGTCTCATTATTTCACGGTTATTATTCTGACCCAACACTATATACAGTAACATCCAAACCCGCTGGGCTAGATGGGGTGTATTGAAACCCCTTTATTATATTGTCCTACATTGGTATCGTGCGATATTTTGTATCAATATTCATACAAATTTCATGGACTACTTTTCTCATTGCCAATTAGTTTTGAAGTGAAACTCATAAGTTTCTATCGATATTCGAAATGCAAAGAGAAGAGAAAATACATGATCTACTTCCCTCATTGTCAATTGTTTTTTAAGTAAGAGGAAAAATATTGACAATGAAATTTATTACTTTTCTAAAAGTCTTTAAAGGCCCAATCCAATTGGTCTATATTTCTAAACGTGATGGAGGCAGAAGAGAGTAGTATTAAGAAGAGAGGTAGTGAGGGCATGAGAGGCAAAAGAAAAAAGAGAGTAATTTTGAGAAAAGAGGTGGTGCCGATATGAGAGATGAAAGAAATAAGGTGAAAGAAAAATAGTTATAATGGTAATATTTAACATTTTTAACTTATGATAATTATAAGGGGTATTTTTTACTTTACACACTTACATTTGCCTCAATCACCAATTTTCCATTGAAAACGGTGCATAAGGGACATTTCGCCTGTTGGCTAGAGGTCAAGGGGAGTTTGTCTTTGCGAATTTCATAGCTTTCAGTTTCAATGTGTGATCCATTCAGCCGTTAACAAAGCAAAAAAATAAAAAAAAATAAAAAAATTATCTCGTGTATTTACTTAAAGCAACAAACATCCAGGACAAGTGTCATCACCACAATAAAAATTTTCCCTCCAAAAACTTTTTCAGTACAAAAAAAGAGTTGCCAAAAGTTGACACGTGGCTTCTCCAGCTTTCAGAAAAATTCATGTACTTATTTTCAGTGATAAAAATCGAAAAAGAGAATTAAAATCCCTAATTTCATGTTGCTCCCTTAATTCACGTAAACAGATCAGATCAAAAAAATCTTAATTTCATGTACTTCATGTACTTCAGGTCCACGTTTCAATTTTAAATTGGATGATAAGTTTCCGAGTTCAATTAAAATTCTTCTCTTCTGAGATGATACCTCTGTAAAAGAGCCGATCCGTATTCATCTTAATTTTCTTTGAAAAAATTCATCTTCTTTATTCTGAATCTGTGCCTGTTATTATTGCTGACTTGCTGCTGTTGCTAACGTCATCTTACCGCACAAATCCGTTCAGATGTCTTTGCAATCTGGTCAGCAAGGGGAGATTCGATTCACAAATCCGACGAGAAAAAGGAGATTTGATTCGATCAAAGGAAAAAGAACGGGCAAGCAAAGGATTTGATTCAATCAAATCCTTTCCTTTTAGAGCATAATTTGATGGCAGGCTAAACAATGATACAAAGAGAGTTTGTTATGGAGATATACGTGGGTTTTGTTTTATTGTTATTCATTCAGATCTGTTGGTGATTTTGACTCATCATCGTAAAACATACCCATTTATGGGGTAATTTTATTTTATTTTCTTACATTGTAGTTTCATCAATTTACATTATGTCTGCTAGACCAGGGAAGAGGTGATGACATTACTTAATAAAATCATCATCGATAGTCTGCCATCCAACCGCACCAGAGAAGATGGGAATGAGGAAGATGACTCACACCCCCATGATGTCGTTCTCTCTTTCAACTCCAAGCTCCAAGGAAATAGCGGTGGAGGTTCAGGCTGCTCCGCAAGAGGTTCAGTGAGTGAGTTCGTGAGAAATTTCTTCCCGTATAATTCCCTATTCTCTTTTCTGATTTGTCAAACTAGATTCTGATTTATTCATCTCGCTTTAAGTTTCTGACCGATATTGGAGAAGCAATTGACAGTGAGAGCAAAGTTGGTGGAGGTCGATATCAATGATGAGATTGCCGTCTTGGAGAAGATGACGATTTGGTATCGCTTCAAAAGAAGCGCTTGCAACCGATGAAAAAAAAATATCAATCTTCAATAATTAAAGGCAACTTGAAGAAAAACCAAAAAGAAAACGAGGGCATATGTGGGCTTAGATTTCAATTCAGCCATGCCTACTAGATCTACTTTTATGCGGCTTACCTACAGGGGCAGAGTTGAGTTCTCAGCAGATTCACGCATGGCCACAGGTACATTTAATAATTTTATTGTTTTGCCCCGGGTTTGCAAATGTTTAAAACAGATGTGCAATCATTTAAAAATGGGATTTTTCATCAGTTGCATTAACTGTGGCCAGAACAAGAGGAAATAGAAGCAGAGAGATGCTCTCTGAGAGGAAATGTATTGAAGAGATCATTTTTTTTTCTTTGGTGAATGAAGATATCAATTTTGATCATAATATAATACTCAATGAGTCTGAGATTGGACATGATGCACTGTTTTGGTGATGTCCCATTTTAGTAGTCCCAAAGTTTGCATAATTATTTTTTGCTCTAAACTAATTAGGTTGTTCTATCCCTTTTAGAGTTTTGAGTACATATTAGATGTTCGATGTAAACAAATTTTGAGTCTAGGAATGATATTAAGAACAAAAGTTTTGTGTGTCTATAGACTAGATTTTATGTTGGTTACCATGCTTTGGTGTGTCTATAGACCAGTTATGCAAAGAATGATGCGAGTTACTGTTAGGTGCCAGGTTGATAGTATTCAGGAATCAATACTTCAAAATAGAGCAAGTTTTATATTGAACCAGTCTTCCGGAATCAATAGTTCAAAATAGAACAAGTTATGAATTGAACCATTCTATTTTGCAAAATAAGAGGACTTGCTTTACATGTGAGTTCTTTGTATTGATTTTGGAATAAAATATTAAAAATACTAATCCTGAAGCAGTTCTGATTCTTTTTGTAAATGAGTTTTGTTATAAAATTTATGATCTTGGGTCCAACTTTGATTTGCATGCTTTCTGTTGATGATTAAAATTAGCAAGTCTTTGGTGCATGCATACCTGCAATTAGTCTTTCACACTCTCTTTTTTAAAGAAATTTTATCGAGACTTTCCATTGTTATCCTTAAAGTTTGTTCAGGATGTAATTTGCTCAGTGAGACATTAGGATTCTTTTTAGGATTAGTTATATTCTTATAAAGTGCTTTTGAACTAATAATGTAGGGTGAAAATTACACCAACATCGTAGGATTTTCCCAACAAACAAGGGGATCTTGGATAAATCATTTCTATTCTTCCAATAAGTAGAAGCCCAGTAAGGTAGTTTTGCATGATGGTTTTAGATTGTCTTTGATTCAGAGTTTTTTATGTAGTATTGTTATTAATTGTTCTTTATCATACTACTTGAAGAGATCAATGGTTAGAATAGAAAGATGTTGTACTTTGGAATGGAAAGAACTTGGAAGCAAGATCACACATTAAGGAGTCCAGTAGCAAGGGGGAGTCACCTAAGCAGGGTTTCAATATATTTTTTATAATAGTTATGATTATGTAAAACTCCTGACATGTTATTGATTTTGGTTTAATGATATAAACTTTTGTAATTTTCTCCTAAATTTTGTGAAAGCATTAGATGTTTACTGAATTTGATAGGGCAATTGCACTTTCTATTGTAATACCGGAAGAGAGAGCTATTGAGTTAGATAGTCAAAACTATTTCTGAAGATGATCAAACATATATAGCACGAGACGGTAAGACATCAATAGATGTATTTTGAGAATTGGTTATTGATTATATTTTTTCATTGTTTTTTATATTCCAGTACGAGAAAAAGGCACAAACCGACCAGTGAAGGAGACAAAGAATAAATGTATCCAAAAAATAATACAGGAAGATCACCGCTTTTATGATGCTCTTCATCCATTTAGGAGAACTGAGGTTGGTCTCAATAGCATTATATTTGCTTTTAAAAAATAAATGGTGGTAGTTCCAGGTTTTCTTTTCCAGATGGTTCAAAGTTTTTCTCCAGTGGGCGGGAACAGATGCATTACTCAGTTTTGGATTTTCAAGTTTGTTGGAAGGTATCACTGGTAGAGTGAAGGAAAAAGTTAGCCTTCTTATGCAGTTAGCGAATACTTGCAAATGTTTTTATCCATTGAGCTTGGACAATTGTGTACCATGATGTAGTGGATGTTTCCTATCCTAGAACTATAGTTGTGTAATTCTAAGGCATTGTGCCTTCATTTTGAATTAAAAAAGGACATATTTTTGCCCTGGGATGTTTATATATTAGAAAGAATTTCCTTATAATATTGACTGATTAAACATTCATTTAAAAGTGAATTTCGTTGTTAGGTATGGTCTCTTCTTGGAAAAATATGATGATTGGGTGATGCTGTACTGGGATTTTCCTTCCGATAGGTATATGGCGATCATATGACTATATATATTAAAAGGGTTTATTTTTAGAGATGTACACTATTGTTTCCTCATTCATTAAAAATATGTTTGTTTAAACCTTTACTGTTTTGTTTTCCAATTCTATATTATTAAACATAATAATATAATAAAATCTATTTTTATTATCTTATAGTTCTTATATATGCTGACATTCTTTTCTGACATCATCATCGATAGTTTCAAAAGTATTGGACATTCAGGAACTAAAATCTTGCCTAACCACGTTGTTTTCTTTGTCCAATTTCCTGATCTAGCCTTTTAACAACAGAGTCTCGAATGAATTAAATTTCCACCTCTTAGGAGAGGCTCAAATCTCCACGTTGTGGCATGGCATATTTATTTATATTGAATAATTACTTAATAATGTTATATAATATTTTTTTAATTAACATGACTATACCATTAAAGGCGCTCGGGCTTCCGCCCGGTTCAAGCATCTAAGTATGTATCTAAGAGTGACAACATAATTAAAGATTGGGAGTGGAAAGTAAATAATGGATTAGAAAGTGGTGGTCAGACGATCAAAATGGCTGGCCTAACTGTAAAATTTTTTGCCACCGACAAATACAATGCCCTCGTTATCCACTTTGTACTACCACGTGGAGTCTACGTTTAATTTCGTCAAATAGAAATAAATACTATTGAAAATATGAAATGCCACTTAGCTAGTTGTCACACTCCATTTTTGCAACATTTTTCTTTATTTTGCAGTTTTCCTTTTTATGCTTACTTGTTCACTTTCTCTTACTGTCTCTCTAGTCTCTACACACACAATAGCAAGTGAAAAAATCACAAAATCATATTTTTCTTGTTTGTGGTTTGGAAGCTGATAAACTACAACACAATCAATAAATAAGGTATAGAATTAATGGAGGCACGAGGAGCAGGAGCGAATAGCAGTAAAAGTGGTGGTGGTTTCAGTAGATATCGCCGGAATATCCCTAACCCGAACTCTGGTAAAAAAAAATTATTGTTCATTAGTTTTAATTATGGAAGTTGCAGCCCCTTTTGATTTTTTTCGTTGTATGCAAGATTAATTATTTTGTCTTTCATTGTAATTTCTCTCTGTTTTTTATTTTTTTTTATTGTGTATCTTTGAGTAACTGCACGTTTGAAGGTAAAAACTATACTAGTAGATGGATATGGGTAGGTGTTGTTCTTCTTGTACATAATTGATTTGTAGAGATTTGAAGCAGTTGATTTAATTATTTTTTACTCCATAAAAGATCGATGATATTTCTACTATATAATTATTAGAAATGATGACTTAATATAAATTATCATTACAACAACCTGATCAATCAAAACAATTTTATGTGAAATCAAAGATGAAATCCATGGGATAGTTGCCTCGTTTGGATAATTAGGCTTTGCTCTATCAAAAAGGGTGGTTGATCTTTGTGTAGGCTTTATGTTAATTTCTCTGTAAATTAGGTTTTTATGAAAGGGATGATTGTGCTTCCTAAGTACTTTATATATATATATATATATAATCATTACAACCTATATTTATAAGTGTATGAAAAACGGTAGAATTAGATTGAGATGATTTCAGAGGGATGCATTCGTCCACGTTCTTAGGACATGCTCATCAATCATTTTATTCGAGCATGATTATAGACTTATTCACTAATCCACAATCGAATCAAATTGCCAAACACATATTACTTTGTATATTATGTCTGTCTGTTTAATTCGTTTAGTATTTTTTCCCCTAGAAAAAGTATTACTATTAGACATTATTTGATACTTATGTTTTTGTTAAATTTATTTTTTCACATATATATAGAGCTTAGAGTATTTTTTTTTAATGTACAACTTTCTAAATATTTATTCTTCCTCTCTCCCTCTAGCTCAATCGTTTGTATTATTTTATTAATTTTTAGTCCGGCGGTAGAATAAACAGATGGAAAATATAAAAAGGAGAGGGGATGAACAAGTGGCATTCATGCAGTAATAAAACAACACATGTCAATCGTATTTACTTCTAACCTTTCTTTGTTTCTTTCCTTTCAGTATTTATTTGTGAGCCTTTTAATAATTAAAAAAAAACTTAACAGTGACGATGATAAATGCCTAGAGTCCTAGATTACAAAAGCTACAAACATCCCCCATTTGTGCAGCAATTGCAGTTGATTGATTTCGTCATCAAATTAAAATGCAAATGTATAAACTCTTTTTCTTTCCCGTCCTTTTTTTTCTGCCATCATAAACAAAAATATCTTTTCTTTTCTTTTTAGGCCAGAGCGATTACGTAAAATTCTTTATATACATCACACTCTTCCTCTGTCCTAATTATTTCAATATATATGATAAAATAAATCGTGTTTCCAAGTTGTGTTTAACAAAATCAATGTTCTTAAGGTTACTATTTTAGTTCAATACATTTAGGTGGTTCCTTTTTGTTCATGGCTCAGTATCCCAGGTTATATGATATAAGGCCTGTTACTCCATGTATGTGTATTGGCAGATTGATGATGAATTTAATAATTTGTACCTATTGATGTACTTGTATATGATGACGATGAATTGATGATGATACGTGTGTATGTAGGGGTGAACATTGGGATAGGATTGCCACTCCAAATTCAACCTGGTGATCCTAATAATAACAAATTGAACCACATTAACAATAACAACTATGCAGCAACAACAACTAGTGGTGGTGGTAGTCGTGAAGGTGGAAGGGCAGGAGGGGAAATGGAATGCACGGTGAGGGAGCAAGATAGGTTCATGCCGATAGCAAACGTGATAAGAATAATGAGGAAGATACTGCCCGCACACGCCAAGATATCGGATGATGCGAAGGAAACCATACAAGAATGTGTGTCTGAGTTCATAAGTTTCATTACAGGGGAAGCTAATGAGAGGTGCCAGAAGGAGCAGAGAAAGACCATCACCGCAGAGGATGTACTGTGGGCAATGAGCAAGTTTGGGTTTGATGACTATATCGAGCCTCTGACCCTCTATCTCCATCGCCACAGGGAGTTTGATGCTGCTGCCCCTGGAGATCATCATCAAATGGGAGGGAGCACAGAGGGATTTGAAGTGCTACTAGGGAAGAGAGCTGTTGCTGCTAGTGTTGAACACCATCTGCCCGCATTAGGCACTGGCATTGCCCTCCCTGGGACCCCCACTACCACTACCACCACCACTGGGCCACCACTCGCCATGCATTCTTTTCAGCATCGCCACCCCGAGGCCCTCGAATTCTTTACTCCTTCTCCTTTTCCCCCACCTCCTCCTCATCCAGCTGCACCTGTCAATGGGTTTCTCAGCGGCAACAACAAAATTAATAATAATCATTCTTCATCATTCAAACTTAATGGAGGAGCATTAGTTGGAGCAAGAGCAGAGCCTTCATCCCCGAGTAGTGTTGTATCAGTGGATAATGAAGATCAGCATTAACACATTGCATACAACTGTAATAAGGAGGATTAATAGTGGCATATATTGCCCCTGCATACATATGCAGTTCTGCTACCCGCTAATTCTTCAATTTTTTGTTCAAGAGTTTTCTTGTTTTAACTACAAACCTAAGTAGTTAGATGTTCTTTTTTTCCCCCATTTTGCGCATGTGTTTGAAATAATTCCTTCCCACCCTATTTTTTAAAGTTTATTTAAAGCTTCCAGTTCAGTATCTGATATGCATGGTGCGCATTATATCATTAGCCAGCGATCAACACATAATAATGTAATTACGTATAATTCATACCTGCCTGGTGAACCAACGAGGTTTTTTAGTCGAATAGAATTTATAACGTGCACAAATTTATGACTCATTAATAATTGACAACATCTGAAAACATTCCGCCAATTTTATTAATTTGTATTCTTCAACCCTCTCTAATTTAATCTCTTTTAAAAATATGGAAGATTTTTTTCACCTATTTCCTTAAACACATATCATCTTCTGTGTGGTGCAAACTTCTCTTCCCCTTTTCTTATGTCTCTCTTTTGTAAGTGGTGTGAGATCTCCCAATGCCTACCAAGTCATTTATACGTAGCCAAGCGTTGAGACTTAGCATCAACATTAATGCATTAATTTTCCCTCTTTGTCATAGAATAATTGTTTAGTTTGAATTTTCACTTTTGGCATAATTTATTACTATAAATCAAAATTCAAAAGAAAAGAAATTGTTTATATTATTTTTTTGTTATGATAGCTGCATTCTGGCATTAAGGACACGTGCGTTTGCAAAAATAGTTCTCATCTATTTTTACTTATTGAAAGCAGCTGCCATTTAAGGCACGTGGCAGCTGCCGAGAAGATGTTTTCCCGCTTAAAGTTAGTAGTTAAAATATAAGAATGGAAACTTATTAAAAAACATAAACAATTCATAGTAATTCATTTTTAGTCCCTAAATTCATGCTCTAAATCCGGAGTTACAACGCAATCCTCAGTGCTAATATGAATTTAGATTCCTTCAAACAAGTCAATCAACATGATTATTTTCACAAATTAGTTTCTAATTCAAATCCAAAAGAACTCCTAAACTTAAAGAAAAACAAAACCTCTAATTACAATTCAAATTGCCAATTCATATTTATGAAATTGCAAGTGTATATGCATTTATTTTTTAATTATTATTTTATCATAATAAATATAATTTTTTTCAAAGTTACATAGTGCCTTATGTAATCGTTACTCAGGCTGAGAATTTAGTTTATTTTTTAAATAACTAATTTGACTTTGGACTGTGAAATAACACCACATTTATAAACTATTGTCCACTTTTATTGTGCAAATTGCTTGATATACCACTATTATTCGCTTTCTCTGTTTTCAAAATTTGTATTTTTTTTGGTTGTAACAACAAAAAAAATTGTACTCCTTCTATCTCAAAATTATTGTACAGTATAGAATTTTACTTTTAGTATAATTTAAACTAACAATGAAAATCCAAACTGAATAATTATTTCGGGATGAATGGGGTATTTTTTTTTTTTTTGGGTATAAGTTAAATGGTGGTTGGCTGGTTGCAAAACGATGTCATCCTAATTTCTTCTACCGTGGAATGCTTAAAATTTGCCGGTACAAATTTATATTAAAATTAAAATATCAAATTAGACAATTATTTTGGTACAGAAGGAACATTATATATTTTGGTAATTTTTTCTCTATCCCTACACGATTAGTTTGGGGGAAAATAAAAAAATTAGAACAAAAAACTAAACGAAATATTTTCGTCAGGATTTGTTATAATGATTATACGAATTAAGTACGAGTATTACATAAGACAACTGTATATATTGTTATGCAAAAAATGTTAGCCGTTAATTTTTTAGTAGAAAAACATTTAGTTATTGATACGATATGAAGTTGATAAAGTATTTACAATGACTAATGTTTAATTAATTATCTTGGCACCACGAATACTAATTTTATTTTTGGTAACCTAGTAACCACATTCATTGGTATTGGTTGGATCTTTATCTTGGGTGTTATTTTTCAAATCACCAATTTTAGTTCTTTCAGCCACAAATTTCTAATTTGGATCATTTTATCCTTATCATTTTTTCAAATCGAATAACCTGACTAGAGAGAAAACTAAAAAAAAAAAGACCGAACGTGCAATGAAACCGTCCCGAATTAACCCGGAACAGGTGGACCGACCGCCCACTTGTTTGCCCGAACAGGTTCATTGCCCGTCCCGAGTTCGGTCCGATATGGTGAACCGGTCCGATCAGGTTCTTTCTTTTTTAATTTTTAAATTTTTCCTTTTTTATTTTTTTTTGTAATTAAAAAAATAGCAACATTTGTTATTTAAAAAAGTCTAAAAATTAAAAAATATCAATCAGATTCATTGTTATTTTTTAAATTTTTAGTTTTTTTTTTGTAATTAGTGAATCTAGCTTTTATGTCATTAAAATCTTTATTTGTTAAATTTATGAATAATTTATTATTTGAGTTATATTAAGTATCACCAATCTTTGTAGTACAAAAAATAGTTAATCTATTTGCACATATTTGTCACAATCTTTGTAGTACAATTATTATTTTTGATTATAAATGTACAATTATTATTTTTTACTAAAACTTAGCTTAAAATTAATGATTGAAGTAAAATTTTATATTTTAATATCAATTCAAAGAAATTAACTTAACAAATAATCTTAAATTTATTTTCAAGTAAAAACTAATTACTTATTTATTTTCAAGTAAATATAAAGTTGAGAGTTTAAGCACTAAAGTATAAATATTGTTAATAATATTTAAAGTACGAAGTATTCAACATGCAACGATATTGCCAATAAACTAGCATTAAAATAAAAATTAATAATTTGTCCGTTCTGACGTGAATCAGATCGGATGACTTGCTCGGTTGAGTGCGAGTGACTTATTCTTTCTCTCTCTCTCTCCCCCTCTCCCTCTCTTTCTCCTTCAATTTGGTTTGGTCAAATGACAAGGACAAAATGGTCAAAAATTAAAAACTTATGGCTGAAAGAACTAAAACTTGCGGGTGTGAAAATCCTCCCATCTTTATTTGAAACATTGGAATTCGGATATTGAAAACCTTTTTTTATTATTTATTTTTACCCTTTCGTTTTTGGTAGATGGATATTCGGGACTTTGCATCCACATGACTGTTTTTCTTATAAGTATTTACTAGTACTAAAAACCAATGCATGTCACGTTAACGGTTAACTATACTTATTATTATCAATCACAAACTCTTATAAATTTTAGTATGTTATGCATATAAACTTATATGATTAGATATTAATTCTCTTTCATTATATACAAATGTAGTATCTACTTGTTTCTAAAATATAAACTTCGTATCTATAGAATTATGTAAAGTAGGAAATTACAATTAAATGATGATGAAAATCAAATGCTATACATGACCAGTTCGAATTTAGTTCCTTTTTTTTTTTTAATAAAAAACCAATTCAAGAATTAGATTGGCTTGAGCCACGCCCATGGGAATGTGACAATACATTAAAAAATAGTTTGAGGAATCACGTAAATAAAGTTATATGTGCACAACTCTAGAATAGTGAGGTTTTTTTTTTTTTTTGGGGGTTCAAATTAGTTTACATTTACATTTTTTAAAGTCCCTGGTTTTCACCTACAATATGGAAGTTGTACACTAGGTAACAGATGTTTTGTTTCTAGTGTCTCATTATTAACAACTTAATACATGGTGAATCAACGACGCAATAACATAATTATAATGTTATTCCCTTTTTTTTTTTATTTAAAAAAGAAGTAAACTTGCAGAGCTTGTTAACATGCATGTATGGCAGTAACACGGGAATTGAACTTACTCATGCGAGTTACTAACAAGTAGTGGCAAATGAAAACAAACACTATTAACAGAACGGCTAGTAATATCAGGGTGGAATAAGATAGAGAATTTTTATTATTATCATGAATTGTAATGATCAAGGTTTCGAGCCCTTTAATTGAAAAAAAAGACTATTTGTAATACAAGAACTATGAAATTCTTAAAAACTTATAAAATTAGTGTAGTTAAAAGACTATGAATTATAAGTTTCACTTTATTATAGTAGTACATGAGCAAAATGCAACTGTCCAGATAATTTTTTTTATATTCCCAATTATAAAAAGGAACTACATGTTAGCAGCAGCTGCAGATAATAAACATAAAATAATACTAATAATAATATTATCTTTTCCTTTCGTTTATTATTTTTTAAAGTTATTATAATGATGATTATATTGAAAAATCAAATAAATATTATTCCGAAGAATTGAGTTCAATTAGCAGTTTACAAAATGGATAGCACAGAGTATAAAAAAAAATCTTATTTCAAACAAAGCAGAGAGAGAGGAGGAGCAGCAGCTCGTGTGAACTGTGAAAGTCAGTTGCGAGGAAGAGTAGTAAGTACAGTACGTGTACTGCGACACTGCGTGACTGCGTTTTTTTTTTTTATTTTTTATTTTTTATTTTTAATAATAATAATCCCTACCCCTTTGTTTCGCTTCCCTGTTCGAAAGAAACATAAATTAAATAAAAAACCCTCCTTTTTATTCTGTTTTCTTCCCCCTCCCCTCTCTCTCTCTAATCTGTCTCATTCTCTTTCTTAACCCCCCGCTCCAACGAGTGTATATCTGTTTCTGTGTGCTCTTCTTTTACTCAGTTGTTGTGGAGCGAGAGAGAGATAAATAAAACCAAAAAACCAAGACGAAGAAGCCGAAGCTGTAGAGGAATTTCATCAATTCCATAGAGACACTCCTGGAAGAACGATTATTAGTCTTTACCTATGTTGTGGTTCAATTGAGGTGGTGGGTTTTTTTTCTTTGAGGAATAAAACCACAATGGCTCATCAAAAACTTCAGCTTCAACAGCAGCTAAAGGAGCTTGGATCCAAACTCCATAACCCTCCTTCCACCAAAGACTCCCTCATTAAGCTCTTCAAGGTTTGTTTTACGATTTCCTTGTTTTCTTCTCTCTCTCTCTCTTTTTTTTTGTGGCCCCCCCGAGCGGTACAATTTTGAATTGGTTTTGTACAGTTTTGATTTGGGTTTTGCAGACATTCTTTTCTCTCTTTTCTTCGTTTTCCCTGCTAAATTTGGGTTCTTTCCATGAGGAAAATGCTGGCTTCGTATCACTTTGGGTTTAATTTTTGAATGAGGTTTTCTGTGTCTGTCTCTCTGTTGTCACTTCATTGTAGTTAGGGTTTTTCGGTTTTTTCTTTGTGTTCTTGCTGCTCTCTTGCGATAAGTAAATTTGGGCTGTTTACATTCTAAATTTTATGTTGGGAAGAGAGAGGGGGGGGGGTGTTCTTGGATTGATTTTGAATTTTGCTCAGTGACTTAGCTCTTTTCTGTAGAAAATCTTGGATTCTGTCACTGTTGGAGAGAAAGTTAAGCCTTGTTATTCCTGTGTTAATTCTTGATTTGGGTTTTCCGTGTAAGGTTAACCTCTTACTCGGTTTTGGTACTTAGGGTTCTCTGTTTTTTATTTTCCACTTAATTTCATGTGCCTAATTCAAGTTTTGAATTTGGATTTTCGTCGCTAAAAATCCCAAATTTTCATTTGGGGGTTCTGTTTTGGATTTGAGGGTTGGGGAGTTGTTATTTTTGGTAGTGTTCCTCTTTGACAGACCTGCATGGTGTAAAAGGGCCTTTTTTTTTTTTTTACTCGGCTATTGTTATTGTCTGCTAAATAAGACTTCAGTTTGATGCTCTGGACTTGTTTTCTTACTTAATTGTTTGTTTTTTTTGCTCTGGACTTCGGGTTTTGCTTATTGAGTTAAATTACATTAGGTTGTTGTCTTAGAGAAGGGAATTTTGGCATTGGGATTTTGGAATGTTAGAGAATCATTTGCCGGTTATATTTAAACATTTCATGGGCGTACATCTGCTGGTGGAAGTGCCTCTTGTTTCCTCTATCTGCGTGTTTTTATATTGTGCCTGTTGCCCAGTATTATGTCCCTCCTTGAGTTTTGGTCGCCATAAACTAATTGTTGGAAGTTGCTCGCTAGTCAAAATCATTTTGTTTTCACACTGAGTTTAGTCATCTGTTTTTACAACCTTCAAGTTTTCATACCTGTTACTGAAACTCATCATTTTCTTCTATGTAGTAATCAGATAGGCACAGCTTTTCTTACTTCTTTTTTTTTCCTTTTTTTTTGGGGGGGGGGGAGGTTTTGAAACTTTTGAATATGAACCAATTCGTTTACCCGAAAGTCGTGTACAGAACTTTGATAAACTGCTTAATCTTGGTAGCTGAATTTTCATTTTTTAAAATTATTTATACATGTATATTCCTTTGGGTACAGCAAGGTGCAACAGTTCTTGCTGAGCTGGAGCAATCACCCCAAAGTCCATCCTAGAGTCTCTGCAGCCTTTCCTGAATGGAATTGTAAAGCCTGAATTCCTGAAGCATCAAGATAGGGAAGTTAAGCTTCTCGTTGCCACATGCATATGTGAGATCACTCGTATTACTGCTCCTGAGGCTCCTTACACTGATGATATTCTAAAGGTAAGTACCGTGCATTGTCTGAATCAACTGATTTAGTTGTTCCTGTATTGGATAGATATGAGCCAGCAGATGGCTCTGTGATAAAAATTAGTAATCTGAACTGTATCTTCTTCAGGATATTTTCCATTTGATTGTGAGCACCTTCAGTGGATTGAGTGATACAAGTGGGCCTTCTTTTGCGAGAAGAGTTGTAATTTTGGAAACTTTGGCAAGATATAGGTCATGCGTTGTGATGCTAGATCTCGAATGTGATGATCTTATTGAAGAAATGTTTAGCACTTTTTTCTCTGTTGCCAGGTACTTCTTGTTTTCCTTGCAGTGATTTAGATTACATTCACGTTCTTGTTTTCTTAAAGTACGGTATTGCTTTGCTTAGGACTCTGTTTTGACTACTCCGTTGGATTATAAGGTGGTTTAATTTGTTCTTCCTCACCCCTTATAAGTGTTATTAGGTATAACTATGCTATGTGGAGTGATCTGTAATTTGGGAAAGATTGAAACCTCTACATTTTAGTTTAGAAAATTCTGCTAGTTTATATTCTAAAGCATGCACTTGTCTTGATTCAAATTTGTACTCTTTCTAAAGAAAGGGTAGAAATCCTAAATTTTGTCTCTGCTTGTTGGTGTACAAAAATTTCGTACTGATCTGAACTATAAGCTAGTTCAGTCGGTATTTGTAATGCCATTTTTAAGTGGTAGGCTCTTTACTACACGCAAGCAGGCAGAATACCTTTTATATGGAGGAAGCTGAAACTGAGCAAGTTGGATGTTCATAGTCAGAGATAACCTTTTGAGTCAAGCAGCTTATTTTCCTTCATGTTGAGTAACATTTACCTTTTTATTTTACATCTGCAGGGATGATCATCCTGAAAGTGTCATAACATCAATGCAGACGATTATGTCTGTTCTCATAGAAGAGAGTGAGGACGTTCCGGAGGATCTTTTACTCAACTTGTTATCTCATTTAGGTCGCAATAAAAAGGTAACCCCGAATGCTTTCTGCAATATGATTACCTTGTGTTTTCTCCTGAGAGTTTAATACTTTGGGATTCTGCTTTCAGGATGTTACGGCCGCTGCTAGGAGGCTTGCAATGAAGGTGGTAGAGCAATGTGCTGGAAAACTGGAATCCAGCATAAAGCAATTCCTGATAGCATCAATGTCGGGGGACAGCAGATCTTCGAAGTATGAAATTGACTATTATGAAGTGATCTATGACATTTATCTGTGTGCCCCTCAAGTCTTATCGGGGGTTGTTCCATACTTGACAGGAGAGCTGCTGGTAAGATGGTAACATGTTATTTCATTTTTTAGTCGTACTTTGAAACGGTTTCTGGGTTTTGTGAGATACAGCTGTTTCAATTTAGTAGGCTATATTCAGAATATTTGTTTATTGAAACTTAGCTTTGAGTTTTGACATCAACAGACTGATCAGTTGGACACACGTTTGAAAGCCGTGAAATTAGTGGGGGATCTTTTTGCTTTGGAGGGATCTAGTATTCCTGAAATATTTCAACCAATTCTTCTCGAGTTTTTGAAGAGACTTACTGATAGAGTAGTTGAGGTTCGAATGTCTGTTCTCGATCATATCAAAACTTGCCTATTTTCTAATCCTTCTAGGCCCGAGGCTCCTCAAATCATTGGTAAGTGTTTGGATCTAGACCTCCCTTTTTAAATTCATGTATATTTCATTTTTGGTTTTGATGTATTTCATCCTTTTTAGCTGCCCTCTGTGACCGACTGTTGGACTATGATGAGAATGTACGGAAGCAAGTAGTTGGCGTGGTTTGTGATGTAGCATGTCGTGCCTTGACATCCATACCAGTTGAAACAGTAAAACTCGTATCAGAACGGCTTCGAGACAAATCTGTGCGTTACTCAAGCACCTTCATTGTCTATTATTTCATTCCATGAAATGCATTTTCTTTTCACGTGTTTCTTCTTTATGCTCTGATGCTGACCTGTGTTGAAACATATCATGCAGCTTCTTGTGAAGAAGTTTACCATGGAACGACTTGCTGAAATATACAAGACTTATTGCACGAACTGTGTTGATGGATCTATTGGCAGTGATGTGTATGATTGGATTCCGGGCAAGTTGTTGAGGTGTTTTTATGACAAAGACTTTAGGTATATGGATATAATCTCACTTTCAATAATGTGTTTTTCCTTTTTTTGTTTATCTCCCAATTTAAGATTTACATTGTTTCTACAGATCAGATGTAGTTGAACCGATTCTCTCTCTGTCCTTGTTCCCAAGTGAGTTCTTTGTCAAAGATAAGGTTAAGAATTGGGTAAGATCTTTCGCAGCATTTGACAAAGTGGAGGTTAAGGCCCTTGAGAAAATACTGGAGCAAAAGCAAAGGTTTGATATGTTGAGAATTGTTGTTGTCTTTTCTTTGAATTGCTGAAATACATTGCCTTATGAGTTTTCATTTAATTGTAGATTACAGCAGGAAATGCAGCGATACCTTTCTTTGAGGCAGATGCATCAGGTTGGATTTTATCAAGAACTTCAAGTTCAGTTATTAGAAAAAGTGATGTAATACTGGTGACAATGCTTTTTGTTACTCTGATCCAGGATGGCGATCCCAGTGAGATCCAGAAGAAGATTACATTTGCCTTTCGTGTGATGTCTCGCTATTTTTCTGATCCTGCAAAAGCAGAGGAAAATTTTCAGATTCTTGACCAAATAAAAGATGCCAACGTATGGAAAATTTTGAAAACCCTCCTCGATCCAAATACTAATACTTCACAAGCTTTTAATTCTCGGGTGAGGAGCAAAGATTCAAGTTTTGTGCTTTTTTTTCCAGGCCTTTTGTTTTTCTGCTGATTTTACTTACCTGTTTTGGGTTGTTGAAAGTGAATAAAGCTGTAACTTTTGTGATGCAGGACGATCTGCTTCGCATCTTGGGTGACAAGCACAGGCTTTTTGAGTTTCTGAGCATACTTTCTTTGAAATGCTCGAATTTGCTTTTCGGCAAGGAGCATAGCAAAGAAATCCTTCACGAGGCCAGCACTCAGAAATCTGCCGGAAATGCGCAGCTGATTGTATCTTGCATGAGTATACTTGTGGTACTGCTTTTCTTTTACCTGTTTGTTTTCTTTTATCCTTAGTTGTTACAAAGTAATAAATAAAATCTCCAAGATATCATTTTTTTGGGGCTAGTTTGTGAAACGATATCCGGCTTATTTTAAAGATCATAACATATGAGGTCTCCCGTTTGCTTCAATTCTTTGATCTTAGACTTGAAAGAATTAGTTTTCCAATAGGTGCCGATTTAGAGTACTTTATAAACTTTTTATAGCGTGAGTAAAGGATACTAGAGCTGAAAAGGAAATGTAGAAATTGAATAAGAAGGGTAAACTGTGGCATTTAGGGTACTGTTGAAACAGATTTCGAAGCTCAGGATCTCCATGGTGGGATTTTTTTCCCTCCCTCCCATACCTTATAGTCTGGACGTCGAGACTGAGGGTTTGCCTGCCGTGCTTTAGGGAGGTGTGTTTATGCACGTTATTGTGTTATTGAAGAAGAGCAGAGTTAAAAACAGAGAAGGGGGGGGGGGGTCTCTCGGTTAGAAAATATATCACTTCCTGCCTTGCAGGATTAAATGTCCTGGCATGTCTTCGACATGCCTAAATTAATGGACCAACTAGGAATACTTGCTTCTGGAGATAGCAGGCATGGAAATGATTTAAATAATCAAATTTCGAAATAGTAACTCCGCTAAAAATGATGTGCCGTTTATTTAAGCCTTTTATTGCTGTAGAGTGTCACCAGTCAATTGTCAACACTTTTGTCCTGGAGAAGTTGTCATCAGATTGTTCTAATTACTGTTATATTTTTAGATGTTTACTATGGCGTTGGCATTGTTTTCCTGCTTTTATAGTTCCACCTGTTGTGTTATATCCTGCTATTTAGTTATTTCATATTCTGCAGATTCTTGCACGATTCTTCCCTTTGCTTCTTGGTGGAATCGAAGAAGATTTAGTTCATCTGCTTGAAGACGATAATGAAATTATAAAGGAAGGCGTGTTACACGTTCTAGCAAGGGCTGGAGCAGCCATTCGAGAACAATTGGGAGTTTCATCAAGGTTCATATTTAACGAGCGTGTTTGTTTTCTTGTCCCGTTTTTATTGCTTTTATGCGGCTGAATTTCCTTTCTCCACATGTAGATCACTGGACCTTATTCTTGAGAGGATATGCATAGAAGGAAGCCGAAGGCAGGCTAAGTATGCTGTTCATGCACTCGCATCTATAACAAAAGATGACGGGCTCATGTCTCTTTCTGTTCTATACAAGGTTTGTTGGTCTTACTTTTCAGCTTTGGCCTAGAGTGTAAATGCGGACCAGTGATGGTTAACCGGTAAAGCAAAGCTTGGAGTTTTTGGTTGCCTTTGTTTTTCTGGGAGTTCATTGGGGTGATGATATTATCCATTATCAAGTATATTAATCTTGTTTTTAAATACCGGTTCAATCATTTGTTCAAACTTCAAACTCAATTTCTTATGCTTTTAAGTGAATTTCTTTATTTCTAGTTTCCTGGTTAACTCGGGATGCGAAAGTGATTGTTCCCAGTTTAACTGACCATTCCGGTCCGAGTTAACAATACTGGTTATGACCTGTTAGATTTAGTTTTTACTGCTGTTTGTGCAGGTCTACTTTATCTTTTATCTTTTTTAACTTTGAAGGTTTCTTTTTTCTTCTTCTTCTTCTTCTTCTTTTTTTTTTTTTTTTCCCTTTTTTTCCCCCCATTTGCAATTTGCAGAGGCTTGTGGATATGCTGCAGGAGAAGTCACATCTGCCTGCTGTACTGCAGTCTTTAGGGTGTATAGCACAAACAGCTATGCCGGTTTTTGAAACAAGAGAAACTGAGATTGAAGAGTTCATAAAGAAAAACCTATTAGAGTGCAGCTGTGTATGCCCATTTAGAACTACCTTGGTGTTTTGCAATAAGCTATTCTTTTCATTTTCACTTTCTGAAACATTGTTTATTTCCCAGGCATCGGAAGATGGAGCCAAAGATTTTTGGGACGATAGGAGTGAGCTCTGTTCTCTCAAGGTTAGTATGTGATTACTTATAAGTTATGCTCATATGCACAAATATCTATGTGGGGAAGTACACGTGTTTGCTTTTGGTGGTTAGGCTATTCAAAGATGCTTTCTCTTCCTGTTTTCCTGCTAGTGCTTGTTTAAATGTTGACTTTTATTGATAATCTGGTTGCTTCCCTTGGATTTTGGATGCAGATTTTTGGTCTTAAAACGCTGGTGAAGAGTTTTTTGCCGGTCAAGGATTCTAACCTTCGGTTGGGAATTGATGACCTGATAGGAGTCCTTAAAAACATTCTCTGTTATGGTGAAATATCAAGGGAAATCAAGTCAAGGTATCTTAGGCAGTTTGGGACTTGGGTTTATTTTTGTAGTTGTAGATGTTAAAGTTGTGTGAATTTTCACGTGGCAGTTTGGTCGATAAGGCTCACTTGAGGCTTGCTGCAGCGAAAGCCATTCTTCGCCTGTCAAAAATCTGGGATGATAAGATTCCGGTCGATGTGTTTTATCTAACCCTCAGAGTTTCAGAGGTGAGAATACTACTCGTGAATGTTCCATTTGGGGAATAAATTCCCTTACCAAGTTGGCTAACTTAAGCTCTATTTGTCCTCTCCTTGATAATAGGAGAGTATTCCTGAAGTGAGGAGACTCTTTCTCGGTAAATGTCACCAGTACATAAAAGACCGTATCCTGGATCCTAAATATGCTTGTGCATTCTTACTTGACAATGGATCCCAGCAACATCTTAGCGAGGAGGTATGAAGCTCTACTCTGTTACCAATGTTTCGTATTGCTTTTCTGCTTTCCTTAGTTCTTATGGTCATTAATGAACCCTTGGCTGCTGTAATGTACATTCTTGCAGGAAAAGCATAATCTAGTTGACATTATCCAGATGTGCCAGCAAGGGAAGGCGCGGCAGTATGCAGCAGCAAGTGATGTAAAAGCGCCTCCAAACTATCCGGAATACGTCGTCACCTATCTTGTTCATGCCTTGGCCCATGATTTATCTTTCCCTGATCCAGATGAATGCACGGATGCTAAAGCTTATGAACTGATTTACAGGTAACCTTTTTTTCTTGTGTTTCCAGTCAGTCATAATTGGTAAGTGCTGGATTTAACAGGTGGGGTGAGGAATCTTCCCCAACACCCCCAAAATATTTCACTTATAAATTTTGGTACTTATGTTAGTTTTGCTGTATCTCATTTGAAGATCAAACAGTCGACTATTGCATTATATACAAGAACATTGTAATCTTTTGTTCCAAGAGATGTTTATCTTTGTCCACTGTAGAAATACATACAGGGGTTGAGCTGTAAGATGTTTTAACATTGGCAAGAGAGGCCAGCATTTGTTTGATATATGTTGGTTTGCATCACTTTACAAAAGTTGGTAATTATCATATATAACTAACACCTTACTATCTACAAGTAAACCAGATGAGGAAACAATACAAGATCTTGTTGAATTCCCTTGACAAGAACTTCCAAGTTGACCAAAAATGATCGACCTTACGTGAGGAGTGTACACAAAGAATATGTAAAACATACACTCTGGCCTCTTGTAGGAATAAGCCTGCGTACATTAGGCCGTAATGGCTTGACCTCTATGGACCCTGCAAAACCAGGAGCTTCTGGGCACTGAGGTGCACTATTGTTTTCCTCCCCTGCCCAAAACGAAGACAACCTCATAATGTCTAGTTACAAACTTCTTTTACTGTAATGGCGGTGAATCTTACTTGTTTTACACTGTTGATCGATTAGTCCATAGATTTTAACCTTGTGGAAATAAAGTGAAGAAAAGGTGAAGTTATCTTATTTGATCTGTATTATGTCAATCCTTGTGGTAAGAGGTCGTTTTCTCTTGTAGTGAATGACGGAGATGCCTCGGTCAATTTCGACATAATTGTTTACACAAGTACAACTTTCTTATTTTGGCAGTATCTTCTTTACTTGGTTTTGTAGTGTAAGCTATTTTCCAAGTGAGTAATTGAAATTGGTTTCCATATCATCATGATGGTATACTTGTAATGCTGCTTATTGCCTGTCGGTAAAAATGCTGTTTTCGGGTTTGATGGTATTCCTCATCGTTTGGCAACTGATATTTGTTATTTGGCTGACCAATATATAGGGAAGTCTGCAAGACTGGAAATTTATCTTAAATGAAGTTTGGTGGCGAAGTACACGTCTTTATTACCTAAGATAACGCAAAATTTCGCTGATTATAACTGTTCATCACATTATGCATTCCTCTATTTATGAAAGATAAGCATATGAGTGAGAATTTTAATTTTTTTAAAAAAAACTGAGGATAACAACCGAATCTAATTTAATAGGCTCCATGATGTGATGATCTGATTTATGGCAGAACCAGTCCTTGCAAATCACTACTATGCTAAAAATTGTTGGCTCAAGAGGTGTGGCTTCCGAAAGGATAAATTTGAATAAAGAAAATCACTCGTGTGACACCGCCTTTTTGTGAATATAAGGTAGAATATGCCTCTTTCTTTTGTTGAGGTTTGCTGATTGAATCTTGTCCTTTTTATGTTTTTTCTCTACTAGGCAATTGTACTCTTTCCTTTCAATGCTCGTGCAAGTAGATGGAGATGGCAATTCTGGCAAGTCTGACGCTGTAATAAGCAAGGACAAGGAAAGCATTTCTGCTTTAGTTTCCATATTCGAAAGTATTAAGCGTTCGGAAGACAACGTAGATGCTACGAAATCCAAGGTTGGACATTTTTTTGGTGCATTCCCTTTAGTTTAGGTTTCAATGACTAGTTTCGAGTTATTGGACCCCATAAAATAATGAGCGGTAAAGGTGAGGGATTATGTTTTTGTGGGGAAATGAATAAAACTTAATTCTGCCATAGTTGGATGTGTTTTGAGCATATCTGTTTTCAGTCAAAATCAACTATTAAAATTGAGCCTTTGTCCCATTACATGGGGCCGACTAAGTATATAGCTGTCCGAGATCCGATTGTGGACCGTTCGACGTGATAACCAATGTATCACAGCAATCTTTTGTGTTCCTCCTAACTAGGAAGGAAAAGAGTTCTATAAAAAGTGACATGAAAGGTTGTTTGAAAACTAATTCTATTGTCAATCTCGTGCATGGCAGAATTTGTATGCCGTCTGTGATCTTGGCTTGCTAATCATGAAACGGTTGGCAGCAACACTAGACAGTTTTCCGGAATTCAGCGTCTCCGTGCCATTGCCCACGACTTTGTACAAATCGCTTGAGGCAAAAGAAGGCGAGGGCAATGACAAACAGGTAAATTTATTTGGCATTATCCCTTTTCTGCATGTGGGGCCTTTTAATTACTTTCTTTCCTTTTTAGTTTTTTGTTATTGTTTTCATTTTATAGTATCCAGATGAATATCATATTATTGCTTATTTTGTTAATATTCTTTGAATCTGTTAAACATTCACTCTACGAGAGAATTCTGCTGCTTGTGATATCATTGGATATCAGTCCTTGATCATTCTGCTGATCATAGTTCTTCGTGATTGGATGTTGGGAATCCAGAATCTCTTTGTGGTTATCATGAGTAAAATTGTATTCCCATGGCAGAAAAATTGGATGACAGTAATGCTCGGATTTTAGAATTTATTCCCTCATTAATATCTTTTTGATAATTCGTTGAGATTGTGAAGTCTGTGTAATCTTATCTAGACGTGAAATCTAAAAATCAATTGGTGTTATTGGAGTTGGAAAACTGTTGAAAGGGTAAAGGGGAAATGCTTCCATGGATGTTTGGAAAAGGTTGATGGCATTGAATGTGGATTAATTTATTTTGTGCTGAAAAAGATTTGCTCATCAATGGCATTTTCGAAGGCCTGTCGAGCCTGCTTAACCTGACAATAGTGGTTTTTCTTAGCTGAAGTTTACTGTTAGCATCATTTCGTGAAAATTTGCCTTTCTTGCTCATATATGAGTTGATTATGTCTTTGGTCGATTCCTTTGTCTATATATAGATTTTTAGTATGAGGTTTGCATTGTTCGCTTTATGAAACACAACATCCTTCTTGCTCGTTCCAGGTTGGTGAATCACTGACTTGGTTGGATGATGAGGGTGCTTTGGCTTACTTTGCGTCCATCAAGTTGGAAGCTAATAAAACTGTAAGCTTTTCCCTGATGTTATTTGTGTGCTGAAATGGAAGATGTATCCCTTTTAAGCTCTTTGTTTTTAATTTGATTCGATCTTCGGCTATTATGTTACTGCCCAGGTTGTTTCAGAAGTTGTTGACGATGAGAGCATGAAGGATAGTGAAACTGACGGCAGTGAGATGCCTTTGGGGAAAATATTACAGCGGCTTCGGGCTAAAGGAGCCAAGGCAAGAAGAGAAATCAAGAGTGAATTGGCGATGAAATCTGGAGAGAAAACTGGAGATGATCTTGATATCTTGAAAATGGTGAAGGAAATAAACTCAAACACTTCAGGCAGTAGCCCTCGTAAGTTTGATTCTAGCAATGGGCATGATAAAAAGGAAACTAAAATTGATCGTAAGAAGCAGAGTCAGAAAAGGAAAGCGGGCTTTGATGAATCAACAGATGTACCAAAACGTCGAAGATCCTCATCAGGTCTTGGTCATAAGCCATCTCATCTTAAGAAAACTTCAAGAGTTGAGTCTATGCAAGTAGATGACGGGTTCAGCTCAGGTTCAGAAGGCCATGTCTCCAATGAACCAGCTGAGTTCGAGTTGGAAGGGTCCCTAGTTGAGAAGGGTTCAAGCTTTCCATCAAATCATAAAGGGAAGCGTTCGTCTAGAGGCCATGATCAAAAGGTAACTGTGTTTTTTTGTCCTAATTGCTCTAGTTTGGAGTATGAGAAATGCTGTTTGTATTATGCATTATTCTTTTTCCTTTCACATTGTTCAGAAATCTAAGAGAACCATTGAAGCAAATCATGCACTTGAAAGTAGTAATTCCGATTCAGCTGCTGCCAAGAAGAAAAAGCGTCAGAGCATCTCTGGCTTGGCAAAGGTTAGCATATCTACGCTATAATCATAACTTACTACATGATTGAATTTTCACCGTGTTTTCATTTACTCCCATTTACATGCATGTGTTGTGCATCAATCCAACTGTAATCCTATTGCCTGCATGTGCTTTCTTGATGCATCAACAGTAAGAGGTTGTGACTTCCTGCGTATAGCCTGATTGGTGCGCTTAGGGTGCTGATTGCGTTAACTTTTTATAGAGCACGTCAGAAATTTTTCATATTGTGTTTGTGGAGGTTGCCATACATGGTTGTAAATTCTTCAAAATACAACAAGAAGAAGCCTTTATTCCACTATTGCAGATTTTTCAAATGCTTTTGTTGGGACATTTTCTCAATTACGGAAGCTTCTGTTTCTTAGTTTTGTTTAACCTCCTTTACTATTAATTGTTTGTGTTCTTACGGCTGGATTATTCCTGCTTTAGTGTACTGCAATGGAAAGCGAAACTCCAACAACTGATTTGATTGGTTGCAGAATAAAGGTTTGGTGGCCAATGGATAAAGAGTAAGTTGTGTCTATAATGAATTTGTTAAGAGGGTTTCAGTTAAATACTTAAATGAGTTCTGCTGCTAATTTATGGAAAATTATCTTTATAGATTTTTATGTTTCTGCTTTGTAAAAAATGTAATAGTATCTGCCAAGATTTGTGCAAGCAAAGTGGCCTAATCTTTGGTAAAATCTTACTGCTGAATATGCCAGATTTTATGAAGGTGTTGTCAAGTCATTTGACACGGAGAAAAAGAAACATGTGGTAAGCTTCTTATGTCTGACATTGGATGAAAAGAATGGGCTGTACCATGGTCTTGTTTGGCAGCTAATCTCTCTCTCCCTCTCTCCTTTTCTGGGACATGTAGGTTTTGTATGATGATGGAGATGTTGAGGTTCTTCGGTTGGAGAAAGAACGTTGGGAGCTAGTCGGTGAAGAAGACCAGAAGACGGTAAACTTTGTTGTCACGGTTATACTTTTCTTCTTTGATGCAGATTGACTAATGCTTTAATTTTTGTTGTTTTTCCCCCAGCGATCAAAACCATCAAAGAGCATGCGATCCAAAGCAATGTGAGTTGCCCATCCTGTTGTTTCAATATGTAACATGCATCTCACTTCTAATAGTTTGATTTAAAACTGGGGGCTTAAATTTTCCAAATTAATGGTCTTAATCTGTTACTAAACATCATGAACTATAATCGTCGTCTTCTCTATCTTGGCGTGTGGATAGGAATGACAAGAATTCATGTTGGACATTCTACTCATCTATGGACTTTGCAGGTCAAAATCTTTGGAGAAGAAGAATAAGAAGTCGATCGATATTTCAGAACAGAAGAAGGAAACAGTGGGAGAGAGGCTCCTGAAACTGATGAACAGCAGTTCTCCGTCATCTAAAACAAGGGGCAAACGCACCCCAAGGAAAAATATTATAAAGCATGAGAGAAAGGATGAGTCAAAAGGTAAGATACATGCTTCTTTTGAGAGTGGATGTAGCCCAGAAGTGCCTGATTTTTTAAATGCTTATCAGATGGAATTTGGAGGGTTGTTTGGGGGTTCCTTTTTCCGATTTGGTCTGTTCGTCCATCTGGCAAGGCAATATATGTTTTGCAACTGATAAAAGCTTTGAACTTTCTCTTTATCAAATAATACGTGGTCTGTGGTTCAAAGTTTGCTGGCTATGCTGCCGTGAAATATTTTGTTGCTTTGGTTTATGAGCCTGCTACCTTGTGGTTTAACTATCAATTTAAGGGAGAGCCATGTTATTTGCCAAAATAGCAGTTCCCAAACTTTTCCAAATATTTGTTTTTGGAGGGCTTTGGTAGGACTTGAGCTCTCAATTATTCGAGTCTAAAAAACTTGTTTCAACAGTGGGGATAAAGGCCTGTAAATTTGTTATTTAGGATTTTAACATCATTTCTTCTGCTTGCTGCATTGGTTGTTTCTCCCAAAATTGCAGTCAATCTCTTTTTGTATATCTTCCTTCTTTTTTTTTTTTGGCAAATTAACACAAGGAAATGTAGGTGGTGGAGAGGGCGTTTCTGATGGTGGGGCTCTCAGTAATAGGAAGAATGACAGCCCGGTTTCTGAAGGGAGAGATGCAGGAGATGATGCAGAGAAAACCTCAAGCGATTCAGACAAGGCTGCCCAGAAAAAATCACCATCTTATTCTAAAGGTAAAAAATCGCTTAAGAATAATTCTCAAGAAAGCTCAGGGAACGAAAATGGGGCATCTAGAGAGGAGGTTTCTTCATCGGACGACGAGGAAACTGAAACAAATTTTACAAGGGAGGAGGAATCAGGACAGGAGGTCAATGATGATGAAATGCGGAAGAAATCAGATTCTGAAGGTGACGGCGGGGAGGATGCTCATTCTAAAGGCCTGGCCGATATGGAAGTTTCTGACAATGAACTCCTGGTATTCTGCCTTTTTGCATTTGTTGTCGACATTGATGTATTGAAACAAATGTGTCTGTGTGGTCACTCTTCTGATATGCCTATATTTCTCGTGCAGTCTGTGTGGAAGCGTCGAGTGGTAAAGTCCAGTGAAGGAAAGAAAAGGAATTGAGGACCAATGCATCGCCTTCCTCCATATGAATAGGTGCTGGCTTATAATTTGTAGAAGTTGAATCATAAAGAGAGAGATTTCTGATTGGTGTGGCTGTTGCCGTTGATAATATTCTTGTCAACCAAACAGAACTGAAATAATAATAATAAAATAAGTAACGAAACAATGTAGTAATCTTCACCCTTTTGCACAATTGGCAGAGCATGGCACGTCATCACCACTTCCAGCAGTATTCGTAGGATTAATAGAAGATAATGCTGGTGATGCATTTCTTTGTTCAGTCAGTGCAGCAGGAATGCAGTTTCTGAAATAGATACAGTTGGCTAGTATGTGTACAGCCTCAGTTTGACATCTCATGTTAGCAGTTTGGCAGTCTGGTTAGTAGGTGTAGCTTTATTTGTAAATTCCTAGTTTTCCATTTAGAGAGAAGTAGCTGGATTTTTCCTTTTTGGGTTTCCCCTAGGGATTCATTTTGTATATGGAGTTCCATTTGACGATGTCTGGGTACTTTGGCACTGGTTCCTGGATGGAACATTAGTTAGTCAATATATAGACAGTTCAGTAGTAATTTTTATTTTTAATTTTTTGGTTAACATTATCTGTTTGTCTGCTTTTTTTGATGGTTCTTTTAGAATATTTTATTAATAACTGTCCCATTTCAGTACACTTTTTTTTACATTTTCAACACATTTTTTTACATTCTCAATACAAAAAAATCTAAAAACACATTAAAAAAACGAATCAAACATATAAGCTTTTGCATTACTGTGTGCTCCCCGTATTGGCTACACCATGTCCTATCAGAAATGGCTGCATTATGTTTTTTTTCTTTTATTTTTTTATTTCTTTAAATAGTAAGTGTATTTTAGAAAATTACCTCAAGAGTGCTTTTGATATAAACCTTTTTCTTTTTTTTTTGGGCCCCCAAAAAAAAATTTAAGAAAGGGCATTATTTATCATAAAAGGAAAAAAAGAAGAAAAGAAAAGAAAAGAAAACTACTTTTGTGATAAGCCACAGCCACAGTATTTAGCTAGTGAAAATTCTGCATCAGCCTAAAATACTCAAATCTGACACATAAATAATCTCTTATCCCTTTGACAATTAAGTTCAAAAAAACAACAAAAGACTACCTAACAACTCAGCAAATATCACACCAAAAAGTAATGTCGATGCTGACTTGCAGACATCTCTGCATTGTAATCCAATCAGAATTAGGTCACTCACACCGTAATGTTTATATTTCATTTATTTGTTTTATATATATATATATATATATATATATAATAGTCTTGTTGAGATAATCTTGTTTATTATTTCTCCTTCAGTGCAAATATTAATGTTGTCTTCTCCCAAGATTACCCAAAACAGTAGTAGTACTTCCCCAAATTTTAAAGTAAAGAAAGAAAAAAAAATTATTTGGAGTGCGCGCTGTGTATCAAATTTTGAGTCAACAACATTACTTTATTAATAATCAGTCCACCACTTCAGCTCTAGCCTCTAGGAGCAGTCAAAGTCCGGCATTAAAAATGAAAAAGAGAACCTTACCATCAAGCCAAAATAATGAATATTTCTCGACAAATTCACAGGATTCAGGACAGGACAGGATTCAGAATACGGTATACTACCTAGTGCAAAAATTTGGGTTTTGAAAGGTGAGTTTTATTCTGTATGCTATCTTCTTAATAAAAAATGCAGCTCCTTTGTGTTGGTTGCTTCATTGTTTCTTTCGCTGTTAATTGTCTTTGGAGGTAAGCAAGCAATTGAATTCTCTCTGTTCTTACACTCCTTTCTGGTAAAAGAAAGAAAAGAAGAGGAATCCTTTCTAGTTTCCTCTTTTCTTGCTCTTGTGATCTTCAAGTGAATGGATGGATTTAATATCAGTTTTTTTTTTACAGTCTTATACTTCTTGAGGCTCTGGTAGAAATACAAAATTAGGTTACTTTTGCGGACGGCTTGACCTTGTGGTTCTGAATGATATAAATCCTCTCCCAGGTTAAATGCATTTCTTTAGAATGAAAATCTCAAAAAACACGAACTTCCAATTTGTATCCATAGAAGGCTTTTGCTTTTCTCACTGCTTTGATGTGATTTCCCCAGATTACTAACACTCATATGTATCTAATGCATCTCTTCTAGCGGGATTTTATTATTTTGTCTTGTGTGTGCTTATCATCAAATTCAGCTCTGTTTTGTAGGTGTGGATGATCAATTGATCATGGGGGAAGCAGTGGGGCAGATAAAAGTGGTGGTTGTACGTGGCAAAAAATTGGTGATCAGAGACCTCAAGAGCAGTGATCCTTATGTCATCCTCAAGCTCGGGAACCAGGTACAATATCTAGGCCTTTTTGCCATTCTCAACAGAAGAAAAGAGAATAAATACTCAGTACAAAAGAAGTCATTTTTTCACTTTATCAGATTCTTTTTTACGGTTCACATGATTTCCCTTCTGTTGTATTCCTCTGGATTTTGTGCACTTTTTTTGGCCACTTAGTCTCTCAGTGTTCCCGAATTGTGTTGTAAACCTTAAGAGAGAACGTATCTCCTCCCTTTGCCCTGGAGTTTCATGGGCTCAAACCTTGCTGTTTTAATGAGCTACTCGTGAAGTTATTAATCATTGGCCAATGACATCTTTTGTTGGTTTGTGTTGAAAGATGCAATCTTGTTCGGTACTTCTGTACTTTCTTGCAAATTTTGTGTGTGGTTCTGTATGCCAAAATCATGCTGCTCGTGTTCCCCTAGCTGTTCTGTTTAATGTTATGCATAACTGTTTACTTGTTTTGAGTACTTAACTATATACCCTCTATTTATACACCAGACTGCAAAAACCAAGGTTATAAATAGCTGCCTCAATCCGGTTTGGAACGAAGAATTTAGTTTCCCTTTCTCTGAACCTGTTGGATCTCTTGAATTGGTATGTTCTCGACTCTCCTGTATTTATCTGTTCCCCCCTGGTGATCTGTTTTTCTTACCTGATTGGATAATATAATTATTATTTGAATTGCTTTCAGAAGTTTAGGAACGGCGACTTGCTCTTCATTACATCCCTCTCAATCACACTGATGCATCTCATTTTGTCATTACTAAGCCCCCAAAATTTAACTTGATCAGCATGAAAATCTTAACTTCCTGTTAGTTGACAGGACTTGAAGAATCAGCCCAACATCGCACTGAACTTCCCTTCTTTTCTAACAAAGAAATGCGGCGCTAACTTCAGCTTTTGTTGAAATATTTCTTTGAACTCCAAGAATAATAGTACTTTATTACCCCCTGTTCAATGTGCTTCCTCCTAATCAAGGAACCCATTGCTCGCATCCTTCAAGAATCTCCTTTGGAGGGTATAAATCTAACCCTTTTGAATTTTGCCCAATAACTTGCGATGGGTGCAAAGTTGGAACCTGCCTTCCTATTCAGCGAATTCTTGAGGGTGCACTCTGGTTTGACATTGGCTGTTTAGGCCTTGGATGGTAGCTATTGTTCTTGCAAGTCGTGGTCTTTCTTGCTGCAACAAGCATTGCGTTTTGTTACTGCAACTTTTATTTGGTTCAAGTGTAATTTGTTTGGGAAAGATACGTACAGACCATTATTATTTGCTTGTCTTTTTCATTTGTCTTCTGCAGTGTAATCATTCCCGGAAAACATGTACTATATATATCTGCCAAGAAAGTTTAGATGGATAACATTGCCTACTGAATGTATTCTGGATTGAAAGTTCTTTAGCAGGACGGGAATGAGAATGTAAAATGCTCTTGTTTTGTTATAGGAAGTGTTTGATAAAGACCGGTTCAAGGCTGACGACAAGATGGGACATGCTCGGATAAGCCTTCAACCTTTGATTGCTGCAGCAAGGCTAAAGCAGATTCTTCAGGTTTCTGGCAGTGAAAAAGGCATGACTTTGAGGAAGGTCATCCCCGAAAGTGACAACTGTCTAGCTGGGGAGAGTACCATTATCTCGGGGAACAACAACGAGGTCATCCAAGATGTTTGGCTGAGGCTTTGCGAAGTTGAGTCAGGCGAAATAGAGATCAAGATCAAGGTAGTGAAGCTTCCCTCATCTCCAGTAGCTTCAACAACAGCAAAGATGTCCTAAAAGGATCCAGATTTGCCCACAATGCGGTTAAGATAATCTTAATGAAGGTGTTGGAGCCGTTGCAGAAGAAATGAAGGTCTGAAACCCTCTGCAGTTTTAAATGTGTTAAGGATTTTATGTGATGTATTTCTGCGTGATGAAATTTTGTTTTAGCTGTATATGTATGTGTACTTGGGTGCATGGGTGGACTGTGTCATTTTTTAGTCTATTAACTCAAAAGAGTATGATCTCTGCACGTAAACACAACACAACAGATTGATTCAAAAGTCTCAGCTAGCTACTGTTCTCTTTAGACTCCATCCATTTGTCAGTGTGAATTTTTATTTTGAAACTAAATAATGTAATAATAACAATAATTTAAAGTATATAAATTATTCTTATTGTGGAAACATTAGTAACTGTAGATTGATTGCTCCAAGTTTAATGTAGGTAACTTTTAAATATAAGATACGATGACTGAGAGGGAAGGTTTCATTCATCAAGAAAACAAAAAGAATTTTTATCAAAGAAATAGAATGAATCATTATATATATTAAAGGTAAGAAAGATAATTGACACGTGTTGCTCATTGAGACCATCAAATCTCAATTAACACGTATCATTTACTAATTGGTTGATCATTAATCAGTTAAAATTTTATGATATGATTTTTACAGATATTACAAATTCTGGATTGAGAACTTGAAAATGGATATTTTCAAAAATTGTTGAGAAACCCCCGACTTAAGAAGTCCTTGCATTTACGAACTTATTGTCATTTTGGCACTTAAAATTTTATTTGTGTGCTATTTAGTCTTCAAGTTTATCGATTTTACATTTTCAAGGATGATTAATTGTGTCTCATATTTTATTAGAACTACACTAATTCCCAAAGTCTCTTTGCCTATAAATAGGCCATAGGCATCTGGACACAATTTATGTATTTTTTAAATATATTTTTTTAAACCAAACATAACATTAGTTAATTGTGACAATTTTTATTAGACAACTTTTGAAAATCTTTGTTGTAATATTTTTGACCATATTTTACAAATATACATCTCATAAATAATATCAATGCCTCTTATTTTGATCTAAAATTGATTAATCAAAAAAATCTTATGATTTTAAGAAATATTAGTAATTACATTATCTAATTAATTCTTTTGAAAGATACAGTTTTTAATATTGACAAACCCATGCAAAGCGCGGGACACATACTAGTTATATCTAAAAGATATGGAAAGAATTATTCTATGTCTTAGTCAATGGTAAAAATGTCAAAATTTTGTTTGCACATTTTCCCAAAGTGTACCATGTAAGATTTCAGGGAAATAACTTTTTTTTTTTTAATGTAGAACCAGTAAGTTAAGAATAAATAAAATTTTGAATCTTATCTAGAGACCCAAAAAACAAAACTTCAAAACTTCATTCCACTATTCATCTGTTTCATCCCTTATACAATTTATAACAAGTGGTAAAACAATAAAAGTTGTTACAAATGATATGCTTTACTTTACTATTGTTTTTTTTTAAAAAAAAAAAAAATTATAAAACACCGGTTGTATTTCAATTTTTTTAATATTTTAGGTATACTTTATAAAAATTTAGAGCAAAATATGTCCCAGTACATATTTGTGGCCATAATGATATAAAATATAACTAATAACTAAGACAAGAATACTAATTATGTTGATTATATTCCTTCGTTTTGTAAGCATCCACAAAATAGTAGAGAAAAAACATTTTTGGTAAATTGTACAGAATTTGCGAATTCTTAATAAAGTTCTTGCGTCGAGTTTTTCGTTGGCCTACTAAAGTTGACAACAAAGTCGACGCGCAATTTTATTTTATTTTATTTTTCTTTTTGGTTATGTATTTGAAAATGTCTTTTCAATTTTTCGCCCTAAGTTTGTTTTTGTGTGAGAAAATAATTTTAAGTTTCATTACTTTTTATACAATATTAGCATATTATGTAAAAAAAACTATATAAAATAGCAGAAGAATTTAATACATAGGGTTTCACTATTGGTTCATATTGTTAAAATTACTTAATTGAGATAAAGAAATTTGTTCAATTTTAATCTAAAAGATACGTAAAAGATTATTGTATGTCTCATAGTCATGTAACAATTTGAGGAATAAATTTTTAATTTTGGTATGTCATATTGGTCATCAAAAGAGAACCCAAAAATGAAAGAATGTGTGCATTGAAAAACGAGAGACGGGCGCAACCATTTCCAACCATTTACCACCACCACCACTAACTCTAAGACTTCCAAGAAATGGCGCCAAAGTAGGCAAAGCCACCGCCGATTTCAAGAATAATGACGACGACGAGCAATCTCAAATTAAAACCACTGTTATTACTATCATCAGATCAGAACGGGGCCGGCCCTGGAAAAACTGAAACCGGTTCAGACCCCAACCTTGCTTTGGTTCCTTGGAAAGGTCGGGTCTTGTTGGATTTGGGGGATGGAAGTGAAGTGATGTATATTCCCAGATTTCTAGCTTACGAGGATGCCTGGACTTATTTCGACTATCTCAACAAACATATTCCCTGGACCCGCCCTACTATTCGTGTCTTTGGCCGCTCGTGTCCTCAGGTTCTAATCAACATCTGTTTTCCATTTCCCTCTTCAAGTTTTAGCTTCAATATACCTAAAGGTCCCATCTTTAGTGACTGATGTTTTTAGGGTACTAAAGTAATATTCTTTGCTTCGGATTGGACTAAAGTGTTCTGTATATGGAAGAATGTATTTGGTTTTGTTTTATTTTTATTTATCACAACTTATAATGAGAATTCAACAGCATTTTGGATTGACGCTTGTTTCATGATAGGCTGAAAAAGACCGTAAAAAATCCCTGTATGATTATGAATTGTTGGCTTCATTCCTAAGACTTGAGGAGGAGGAACAAATTGGAGCCTAACTGGCAGCTCCCTACCGGAGGTTCTTTTTGTTTGTTTGATTTGTTCGGCGGTGCTTGTGTTGTCCTTATTCTGGATTTTGGTTTAGTGTTTGTATCTCTCCAGCTTAAAAATTGTAATCTTGGTTTAACCAGGTGTTGGAATATATACGTCTTAAGTGCGCAAATCTGCCCATGTTATTTTGGATTTTCTGCTGGGTGGATATGAGGCTATTTTCTTGTGTAAATTCCATTCACATTCTTTAGTGATGCTATGGACTCTTCTCTTATGTTTTGTAGTACTATTCACATTCTTAATGGAAATCATCTTTGTAATATGACTCGTCATGCTCAAGTGTTGTCATCTTTCATATTAGTGGCCAATGAACAATCACTGCTGTTGGTGTTGTTGTTTAGCAGTCTGTTGATTAATCCAGTTACCTATGCTCAGTTGATGGCGGAAAGGCTTGTTGTTTAATTTTTATTTTTCTGCTCTCAACAGCCGAGAGATGTGTGCTACATTGCTGAGGAAGGACTGCCAAGTCTGGTCTATAGCGGATTTCAGCCTTATGCACATTCTTGGGAGGAGTTCCCTCCTTTGAAGGACATCTTGGCTGCGGTAACAGTGTCGTGTGTCACTATTATGAAGTAAACGACAGCATGATTGATCGTTACGTTATTCATGTCTCGTAATTCTCTTGCTGCTATTCATATATATCTAGGTCCTTAAAGCTCTTCCAGGGAGTAGCTTCAACAGCATACTACTTAACAGGTACAAAGGTGGGAGCGACTACGTCAGTTGGCACTCTGATGATGAGAAAGTATATGGACCAACTCCAGAAATTGCCTCAGTTTCTTTTGGATGCGAACGTGAGTTCTTGTTGAAGAGAAAACCAAGCAAGGGTTTCCGAGGTAATTTTTGACCTTATCTACTTCTTTACTGAATACGGTGGAAAGATTTCAATCCTTTGCTGGTGTGGGTTGCTTATGCATTATTATCAATTCAAAGGACAAAGTTTAAAGAACTTTCAGATCATCAACCCTGGGAAGGAAGTCCCTCATTTTTTTTAACATGAATATATATATATATATACATATATATATATATATATATATATTGGTGTTAATCTGCATTCTTAAAAGGTTTCGTTCATAAGTAGTATTGTTGTTTGGATTGAGAAAATAATGGGTGAAAAAGAAACTCCAGATCCTCATAATGACAGATGTGGTACATTCCAAAAGGGTATATCATTACTTGGGTCATTTGTTTTTGCTGGGTCAAAGGACATTTGACAGTCTGTAATGAGGTATGTTTTCATCTTCCTTATGCCAGCAACGTCCAAAGGATTATTAATGGCATCATCATCAGGAGATGAACCTCCAAGCAAAAGGTCCAAAAAAGTTACAGACTTATCAACTGACCAACAGCAACACGTGTTCACGTTAAAGCATGGATCACTTCTGGTGATGAGAGGATACACCCAGCGGGACTGGTTGCACTCGGTCCCTAAGCGCACAAAAGCCGAGTCCATAAGGATAAATTTGACTTTTAGGCTGCTTGTATCTTCATCATCTCGATGTGAACAGAAGGGGAAGTGATTGTCTCTGTTAACACGCTTGTGTATTTGTACTCTCTATCTATATAGTAAATGTGAAGAAGAGTGCTTGTGGAGTCCAGCAATTCTTCTGCTGCTGAATCTGAATCCTTCTGGAATGGAAGGTTGTTGCAGTATCATAGTAATCCTCTTCCAGGTTTAGGGTGGGTTTTTGTTTTCTTCATCTGTCTACTCGATGGGATAATCGTGTCAAACTTTCTCTTCTTAAAGTTTATGAGTGTAATCGTTATGGAACTTCATTTTAAATTTTGGAATGTAATAGTCTAAGAATCTTGCAGTCTAACACTTTTGTACTATTGAGAATCTGAAAAGGACACTTATTTAGAATTTCTTCATTTTGCTAAAACAAAACTTATTTTGAAAGAAAGGGAGTATTATTAACATTGTGGTTTCAACCTTTTGAAACACCAGGTTGGCTGGGTGGTTTCGGTTAGGATGCAGGAGCTAAATTAAATAGTACAATACGTTATAAAATTTTTTTGAGGATCTAAACCGAGTTGCGAGTCATTGATGTAAGAAATGCTAATGGATGGGCGAGGCTTTAACAGGATCATAATGTTGCTAGAAACATAACTCTTTAAGAAAGCTAACTAGGTAAGTCATAAGTGTACAAACATTCTCTTCTCCAATATCATCGTTTTTCCATAATGGCAAGCCTCTCTTCCTAAAAAGTTTTGAGGTGATGCTGTTTTGAGAGTCACTTATCTGATCAACAGAATTCCTTCTTCTTTATTGAAATGGAAATCTCTCTATCAAATTTTATATTCCAAACTTCCAGACCTTACACACTTTAAAATTTTTGGTTGTCGAAGTATTTGTTACCATCACTTCTCCACATCCTGATAAATTTGACCCTAGAGCTTTCTAAGATGTGTTCATTAGCTATCAAACTGGCCAAAAGGCATACAAAGTTTACAGTTTGCGAGATCATAAAGTATATATTTCTCGTGATTTTGTCTTCAAGAAAAATATTTTTCCTTTTCACTCAGAATTTTAAGTTTCTTCACCTTCTGTGCCTTTACCAGTTGATCATCATCCTTTCATTCCTGAAAACTCTGTCATCACTACTATTTCTTCTCAATCTAATCCTAGTACTACTACTTCTTCTTCTATTCCTGTCCCTGATACTCTTCTTTCTACATCAGTCAGAGTTAGTACTAGAGTCAGGAAACCACTTGTTTGGATGCGAAGCTATGAAACTTACTCAGCCTTTACATCCTCACCAAATTCCGACAAATTCATTAGTCCTTGTACCTTTCCATTCACTCATCCTGATCACTTAAATCCTTCCTATGTGGCCTTCATAGCTAATATTTCCAAAATACCAGAACCATATTCATATGAACAGGTCTATTTGCATCCAGAATTGCAAGAAGTAATGCAGCAGGAACTTGATGCCTTAGACAGAAATCAAACTTGGGAGATCACAGATTTACCCCCTGGCAAAAGACCAATTGGGTGTAAATGGGTATATAGAGTTAAGTATCATGCAAATGGTACTCTTGAAAAGTACAAAGCCAGGCTGGTAGCAAAGGGATACAACCAAGTGGCTAGAGAGGATTATGTTGATTCCTTTTCACCTGTTGCAAACTTGTAACAGTCAGATTATTATTTGTTCTTACTGCTGCTAGAAACTGGAATCTTCATCAACTTGACATTAACAACACTTCCTTGCATGGTTTTATTAATGAAGATCTATACATGAAGCTTCTTCCAGGTTATCAATGTGCTGATACTTCTCCTTCTAAGGTTTGTAAATTGAAGAAATCCTTGTATGGATTGAAGCAGGCTTCCCGGCAATGGAATAGGGAATTTACTCATTAGTTGCATTCCTTTGGTTTTCAACAATCATTTTATGATTACTGTCTCTTTGTCAAAACAAAAGGTTCTCATTCACTCTTTCTACTGGTTTATGTGGATAATGTGTTATTGACAGGATCTTCTGATTCTATGATTGCTTTTACCAAACAGTTCCTTCATCATACCTTTACCATTAAAGACATGGGAGCGGCAAAATACTTTCTTAGGGTTGAAATTGCCCGGACTAATGCAGGGATCACTCTTAATCAACGCAAGTATGTGTTGGATATTGCTCAGATTGCTGCGAACCCTACCTTCCATGAGCGAACCAAACATTTGGATATAAATTGTCATCTTGTCAGAAATCTCTACAAGTCAGGTTTTCTGGATCTCTATCATATTCGTACATCATCTCAGCCAGCCGACCTGTTTACCAAAACACTTTTGTCACCTCAATTCTGGTCATTACTATCCAAGCTTAGCCTCAGTGATTTATATAATCCCTGTACTAAGCTTGAGGGGAGGATCAAGAAATTAAAGGATTAATTTGAGGTTTTGACAGAAGCAAAGATTCAGCAGCATCATATTGAAGACTTAGCACCAATTCCAGCTGAAACACTAGATCAAGATGATCACATAATTCAGAAAATTTTAGGTGTTGGTTGAATTACTTTGTTGTCCTTTACTTAAGATAGTTTTGTGTATAATATGTAAGGTTATACTTGTAAATGACTAGCTTAGTCATTAGATTAGAATTGTATATATTACAGCCCTAATGATACATTAATTGTACATATTCATTATCTCATCCTTTTGTCATCGGTTGTTTATAAAATGACTTTTTTATTTATCTATTTCTTTAATGAAAATTCTTTGGCTGTGATTACTTTAGAACTAATCTGACGGTTACTAATTAAATAATGGGATCATATCCTCAAAATGAATGACGGGACTTTAGCTTTACCCTTAAATATAATATATTTTTTGTCCTTTGTACAAAAATTAAAAAGTAAAGTACTCCCTCCATTCCAAAATAAGTGTCGTTTTGGCAAAATGGAGAAATTCCAAAATAAGTGTCGTTTTCGGATTTCAATGTATTTTTTGTCAAAAATTTCCAAACATACCCTCAAAAGAAATAATATTATTGGGGAACATTTATTTTAATGGGGTTGATTGAGGATATTCTAGTAATTTAGTTACCTTATTTAATGTTTTCTTAAACTATGTGCAAACTCTAGAATGACACTTATTTTGGAATGGAGGGAGTACTATAAAAGATAAGTAAGTGTCATTAATGTTACTGAATGCAATACACAGAGATAAGAATGTAATTGAAAAAAAAAATTGTATTTGTGCTAATGCAACAAATAAAAAAAAAATTGGAGGTAAGGTCATGTTTGATAAACTAATTCAACACTTAAACTTAATTGATTAAGTACTTAATTGATTGACACTGTTTGATAACACAATTTTATTACAACTTAATTGATTAAGAACTTAACTAATTAAGGACTTAAACTTTAAGTACGTTTGATAACTCAAATTAGGATGTCTTAATAAATTAAGTGAGTCTGAAATGTTAGTACAAATGTGGGTCTAAAAATAAGTGATAGGTCTATCACTTATGTCTGAACTGAATTCCTGAGATGATTTTTTTTTCTATTTATTTACTTTTATGTTTATACTTTTGATGTTTTATCATGAAATATTTTTATTAATCTTGGTGTTTAGTTATAAATTGAAATTTATTTATTATTTTTATTTAAAATATTTACTTTAATATAAAAATAAAATACAAATAAAGTCCATTATAAATATATTTATCATAAAGATGTGATTTTTTTTGACAATGATAAAGATGTAATATTATTATTAACTGAAAAAATAATTACATTATAAAATTTAAATATTTTTATCACATAATTTTATAATAATATTATTATCTTTATAATCATAGTTTCATATATATATATATATATCAATTATTTTTTAAGATAAAATTATAAGTTGAGATATTTTAATTTCAGTGTTCAGACTTCATATTTCAGACATTTTATTCAGTCTTCAGATTTTGATTTTTATCAAACAAGACAAACTTAATCAATTCAGTACTTATGATTCAGTCTTCAGATTTGAGACTTCAGACCCAAATTAAGTTTTATCAAGCGGATACTAAGTATTAAGTATTGTTTAACAAGATCATCCTACATAATGGGCACGCACGCAGCCCTATGTCCGAGTTTATCTTCAAATTTTAACAACATTTACCTGCTGACGGGCGTCTAATTCAGTACGCCATTCCTTTACCTTAATTTGGTGTTGGAGCATTCGACCGACCTTTCTTCTATAGAGTTGGCAACCTTTTTTAAACTTTCATTACCTGGGGTTGATTATTCCGTTCTTCCTCCCAGTTTTCTCTCATCGCCAATATGGCTTCTTCTATCGAGCCTCGAGGTTAGTCTCTTACTCTCATCCATGTTAGAGTCCCTTAATTATTTCCCCTCATCATTTGGCTTTCTTCTCCTGGTTGGTTTTTTTCATTTTTCTTTCTAAAATATAATTTGCTGTTTGTAATTAACCAGATGCCTGTGTTGTTGGAGTTGCAAGAACTCCAATGGGTGGATTTCTTGGTTCCCTCTCATCGGTTCCTGCTACAAAGCTCGGTTCTTTAGCTATTCAGTGTTAGTTTTTCTCCACCCCGTTTCCTGATCGGTTTGGTTCTGATATGAGCGCAGTCAGAGTTGGCTAGATGCCTAGTATGTGAAACAAGTTGAAAATTTGTCAGATGACAAGTAATTTGGGAAGACAATTCCTCGTTTAAGACTTAATAATTTTGACCTTCAATATGCCTGCTGATCACAATACAATTGCTAGTTATGACTTACATCGCCAAAATCTGGAAGAACATGTTTGTTGTTGGTTTAATCCTTTGTTATTGGTTTTGTGCATCTGCACCAACTTGTGTGCAATTGGTGTTACTCTGCAGCTGCTCTCGAGAGGGCAAATGTTGATCCTTCTCTTGTTCAAGAGGTCTTCTTTGGAAATGTTCTTAGTGCAAATTTAGGCCAAGCTCCGGCCAGACAGGCTGCATTGGGGGCTGGAATCCCACATTCGGTCATCTGCACAACAATTAATAAAGTTTGTGCTTCTGGAATGAAAGGTGAGCCTGGTCTATGTTTAACCAATTAACCCTATCAACTTAACAAAATCTCACATCTGAATGATAGGCTATGAAAATGATAAGTTAAGATGTTTCCAGATTTTATCTGCCGAATCGGGGGCATTAAATAGTAACGAGGAAGTTTCTTTCTTTCATTTCAGCAACTATGCTTGCTGCTCAGACCATACAAATGGGGCTTAATGATGTTGTTGTAGCTGGCGGCATGGAGAGCATGTCCAATGCACCAAAATATTTAGCTCAAGCAAGGTGGCTTTTTCCTTTTCTTACTTGAACTTTTCATTTTAACTGGATTACTTGGCAAATGTTTAAAAACAGATAAAAAAAAAGGGTAGAATGACTACAGATAGAGTGCAGAAACTCTTGCGATAGTCAGCAAAGTGGCCCTTTATTATTAATTTAATTTTCTATGATCTCTAGAACCATAAGATGGTCTTCATATGAATTATACGTTCCATACAAGAAAGCCATGGCTTGCTAATTAAATACTGTACATACTCGTTCATATTACGTCGGATTAGGAAACTTAGAATGTCTTGTGGAAGTTCTTGATGATCCTCTTCTGGAATGATTAGTTGATGTTGATGACTTCTTCCTGGAGGTCGTTGGCATCATGAGATCATTTTAAGATTTAATGGTGATGATTTTTCGAATAAGGTTTGCAAAAGTAGCTAATTCCTTGCAAATTGGCAGATCGGGTTCCCGTCTAGGACACGATACTGTTATCGATGGAATGCTCAAAGATGGACTTTGGGATGTCTACAATGATTTTGGAATGGGAGTTTGTGCAGAACTGTGCGCTGAACAACACCACATCACTAGAGAAGACCAAGTACATATCTCTAGCTTCTGCAATTTGTTCCTTGTTTATTCGGTTTTCGACTATCCATGATGAAGGTCTATGAAACTGTAGAATGCTTACTTGCCTTTTGCAACGTCGCTTATATAGTGCTGAGTTTTATTCTTCAATTTGCTGCAACACTGGTGGCTCTGGAAGTTTGCATGCTTGTGTTCAATTACTCTTTCTTTGTTTGAGGTAATGCTAAACACATGTCTGTGTTTCTATTTCTCTCTAGGACTCTTACGCTATTCAAAGTTTTGAGCGTGGAACTGCAGCACAAAAGAGTGGTGTGTTTGCTTGGGAAATTGTTCCTGTGAGATTTTTTCTTTCATTCTTTTTTGTTTCTTTAATGAAATTTTTTGAGGCATTAATGGTTTTCATATTTTGTTGCTCATGCAGGTTAAAATTTCTGGTGGCCGAGGGAAAAATCCAATTATAATTGATAAGGACGAAGGTCTAGGAAAGGTATGGCAACTGAAAAATTTTCAGGCATTCCTGTACAGATTATTATGTCCCAAATCTGCTTTCTACCATTTGTGCCTGAGTTCAACAATAAGCTTGGCCAGCAATGGATTTACTAAAATTTTGAAACCAGTAACTTCTTTATATATATTTTTGTTGATCCTGGTAAAGCTCTGTGCCTTCTTTTACATGCATTTCTTAGCCAAGTCCAGGATTGATAATATGCGCCAATTATCCCTGAGTTGGGTGGATTTTAGTGATATGATAACAGGCCCTCATTTCTACAGTTTTTTGTTGCTAGTTTGATGCTTCAAAACTGAGAAAGCTTCCCCCAAGTTTTAAGAAGACCGGAGGTTCTGTCACTGCTGGAAATGCCTCTCTCATCAGGTTCTCTCTCTCTCTGCAGAGATATGTGCGTTTGTCATGTTTGGGTTCTGTTAAATATGTATAGGTGTCCTTCTGTCATTGCTATACTCAATATCATTTTTGGACACTCTAGAAAGTTACATTTTAAAAGTAATTTTGAGGGAGGGTTATGCTCAAATTCGACCTTTTTCTGTTCGTGTCTACTTTAGACGTTTGTCTTTAATTTTTTGCTATTGGTGGTATGTTGTCCTGGACAGTGATGGGGCTGCTGCATTAGTCCTAGTGAGCGGTGAGAAGGCGCTTAAGCTTGGATTAAAAGTAATCGCTAGGATCCGAGGATATGCTGATGCAGCTCAGGTGCCATGAAAAACATACGTAATCTACTTTGTGAATTTGGATTCAAGGGCTTTTCTTTTCTCTTTTAAGTCGGTCATTTTCTTGTTTCTTTCTTTTTCCCATGGTTTGGGATGAACATGAGTTTTTGTGCAGGCGCCTGAATTGTTTACAACTGCTCCAGCTCTTGCAATACCTAAAGCAATATCAAATTCTGGCTTGGAGCATTCTCAAATTGATTATTATGAGATCAATGAAGCCTTTTCTGTAAGTTTTTCCTGCTTCTGTCCCTACATGTTGTCTATCAGTGGAAGATTTTTCTCTTCTGATTAAGTTTTTGAATACACTGTCATCCGTGAAGGTCGTGGCTCTTGCAAATCAGAAATTACTGAATCTTGATATGGTGAGTCTTCCACTGGTCCTTCACTATCAGTGCTCTGTACAACTGGTTTCTGAGCATCCATTTTTGTTACACCTTTGCTTTTTCCTCCTCTGAATGTACTTTTGTTAAGCTACTTCTTATCTCTTTCCTTTTCCTTTTGTTAACTTTTGTGTTATTACAGGAGAAGCTGAATGTGCATGGTGGAGCTGTGTCTTTGGGACATCCGTTAGGCTGCAGCGGGGCTCGCATCTTAGTTACATTGCTTGGGGTAAATTATTTCCTTAAGAATCTTAAAATTTGATTTTGATTCGTTTATAGCTTCCACTCTTTCATGTGACTGCCTTCAACTTACAAATAACTTGGTAGGAGACTTTTGACTTCAGTGATTATGTTTACAGATCCATTTGGAGAAATATAAGACTATTTTAACTATTTAACTCATGGGTCATGGTCATATATGGGCTTTTGTATTTAGAAAATCCTAATCTTGTCTCATCTCTCTCTCTCTCTCTCTTAGGTTATGAGACAGCAAAATGCCAAGTTTGGGGTTGCTGCAGTGTGCAATGGGGGAGGAGGGGCATCAGCAGTTGTTGTCGAGCTCATGTAAGTTCTCTGCATTCCCCATTATTCATCAATCAAGCTATATTCTATTTGCTCAATGCAGTGTTATTGAATTTAAGTTGATGTGAACACTAAATTTATCTGTGAACCTAATCAAACTGGCAGCCTAACATTCATCAGTACTGTAGTAATAATGTTGCAATGACTTCACGACTTAGCATAGCTTCTTTAAAAATCATTGATTGTTCAGTCAGTTGAAGATAAAGTGGCTTCAAACATATATAGGACAAAACTGGATTAGGGTGAAAATCAGAAGACCGTCAGTTCGTGTGTAAAACAAATATCAATTTCCTGTTTATTCAATGTCTGCTGTTGAATAGTTCTTATGATTACAGACATTACCTTTATATATTGCAGGCCAGGTGCTAAAGCAATTCGTGCCTCACTATAATATCCTTCAAGGTACATGTGCACCAAATGATGAGTTTATTCCTCTTTACATCAAATAATGCACCAAATGATGCGGCAGATCATTGCTAGTCCTGTTGTATCTTTCCCTTTGGGACAAATTCAACAAAAGGCGTGTAGTACTGTTTTGCAAATCTGCTCAGGCAACTTCAGTGGGTAGCTAGACAGGAGTTAGAAGCGCTACGTATAGATACATGTATGTGCACTTTTGTACTTTACCATCAATAAAGGTTCAAAAAGATGTAGCAGTAATTTTGGGTCAAGTACATGATGTACTGTGTATTGACCTCTCTCCTGAGGTTGGGGAAAATCTACTGATGGCCCCTGAGTTTTATTAAAACTACAAATAAACAAGACGTAAATATTATTGTTCAAGGGTGTAGCAATACCTAGTTCTTAGAAACTAGCAAATTGGATGTTGGTTTAACTAGTTTTCCCAGGAAGTTTCATTTTGGTTTTACCATGAACTGGTCGGTGTTTTTCTTATTATTAGTTGTATAATAAATTATTTATTATTTTGCTCCTCTTTTAATGGTAAGGATGGACCTTAATTTCAGTGGAAAACATTGGAGTGGATGGTTGGGAATGGTTCCTTCAATTTTGGCACATGAATCAACATTTATTCACCTCCAATTGATTTCGGTATTCCTAAAAATAAGCAAATAAATCAAGAGTCTTGATCATTTCTCTTTTGCTTTTGACCTGAAGAAGAGAATTAGCACGCAGAATGATTTCCATGTCAAAAACTATAGATGATTCAGAAGAAACGAACCAAAAGACTGTTTTTTTTGAGAAAACAAAGTAGAGAGGGAGACCAGAGAGAAAGATTTGGGTCTGAAATTTGATTTCCATTGTTCACAAGCAAATTAGAGTTTTGTGGTTTCATTCATCCAATCCCAATGCTATACTTGTTGATTTCTTGACGGGAAAACCATCCAAGCATCATCAACAACAACAACAACATTGCGCATGCATTTAAGGAAGAATTGATCTATGCAACGGGTCCGGGGTATGTCAATGTCAAAAACTTTGTGTTGAAACTGGAAATATACATTTATACATATAAACGGTGATCCTCCCTTTGTTTATTTTTTCCGGTTTTGCTGGGTTTAAATAAATTGCAGGTAAACTACAAGAAATGTTCAGCTTTCATGTAAGACGAAACTCCACTGATTCTCCAAACACGTTAGTCGGTGCTCCAACGAAATGGATGGGGTCATCTCCCGGATCCAATTCCGGCGGGTCTCCTCGAGCTGAGGTCGGAGAGATTGACACCAGCGCCCCGTTTCAATCGGTGAAAGCGGCTGTCAGTTTATTTGGTGATGCCGCCACCTCTCCCCGGAATGTCACCCCTTCCGCCACCAACAGACCTGTTGGTGTCAGGAGGCCCAGAACCCCCGATGATCAGGTTCGTTCGTGTCTCCATTAACTATTCCAATTTGAGAATCAGCATACATATAAGAGCCAGGATGAACTTTCTTAAGAATGAACATTTTTATCTCTCATCTCATGAACCAACTCTTTGATTAAACTGGATCAATCCTTACACTAATCAACTAACAACATGTAATCATATTCTTAATTGATTTTGGTGGGGGTGGGGGGCAATGCAGAGAGTTCTTGAGAAAGAGACACAGATTCACTTGGCTCTCAAAGAATTGGAAGATTTCAAGGAACGACTCAAGAATACCGAAGCTACAAAAGCTCAAGCTCGTCGGGAACTCGACAAGGCCAATCGAACCCTCCAAGAGCTCACCAACAAGCTCGAAATCATAAGCGAATCAAAGCAAAACGCCATGGAATCTGCGGAAGCCGCCAAGGAAAGGGTGCAGGAGATGGAAGAGCAAAAGTCGAGTCAATTGGAAAGAGGAGAAGGAGGGGGAGGGGGTCAGGGGGTGGATGCTTGGAAACAGGATGTGGACAATGAAAGAGAACAATATAAGGCCTCTTCCACGGAGCTCATATCTGCCAAACAAGCGCTCACGATGCTGAGGCGGGATTTTGATGGCGCCCTGGAATCCAAATTGGCAGCGTTCCAACAAGCCGCGGATACGCAACACGTCACCCAAGTCAATCAGGAAAGAGTGTCCCAAATCTCAAAAGAGATCACTAGTTTGCGGGAAACCCTTGGACAGGTGAAGCTAGCGACGCTGGAAGCTCAAGATATTCGTAATCAGCACAACCTGGAAAGGGAAGCTCGACTTGAGTCGCATGCCCGAGCAAAGGGGGAGTTGGACTTAAAAATGAAGTCGTTAAAAGAAGGGAACGACGGCCAGCTGCTGCTGCAGCCTCCTAAGGTGATGGAGGAAAAGCTAGAGGAGGCTACTGAGGCGGTCAAGGTATTGCAAGAGCAGCTGAATAACGTCAAGGAGTCTGACATGTCATCCCTGAAAAGTATAACCGAGGAGCTCAAGAAGGGCAGGAGAGAGCTGGAGGAAATCCTGGAAGAGCAGAATAGGGAGCGGAGCTTGGTGGATCAGCTGGGCTTACAAGTGGAAGGGCTGAGAAAGGAGCACTCCGACTTGAAGGAGAAGGTTATGGAAGCCGAAAATAGAGTTGGAAGCCTAGAGGCCGAACTGAATACATACAAGAATCAGCTGAGAAAAGCTAGAGAAGAGAACATCGATCCTGGTCAGGTGTCGTCGATATGTGATGATTTGAACTCGCAGATCCAACAGCTCACCCTGGAATCAAAGAAAACAAGACAAGAAACGGAGGAGATGAAGAAAAACATGGAGACACTGAGGGAAGAGGCAGAGAGAGCGTGGAATGTAACCAGGGAAGCAGAGGAGAGGCTGAAAGTCACACTGGAGGAAGTGGAAGAAGCAAAAGCTGCGGAGAGGCAGGCGGGAGGTATGATTCACCATCAGGATACGAAGCATCCCAGTTCATCACCATCATCATCATCATCATCATCGCAGCAGCCAACGGGGAAAATCAGACTATCAAAGGAGGAATTCGAACGTTTGAGCAAGAAAGCAGAGGAATGCAGAGCAGAGGCGGACATAAAAGTGGCAACCATCATGGCTCAGATGGAATCCATCAAGGGCAGAGAGAGGGAAGCCCTCAAGACAGTGGAGGCAGTAAAGGTTGAGAAACAGAGAGTGGAGAGTGCAATCGAAGAAGCATTGAAGCAAGCTGACATGGCGGATGCTGCCAAACAAGTGGTTGAAGGGGAGCTCCTGAAATGGCGTCAAAGAGATTCTTTCAACTCTTCTTCTTAGTAGTAAAATCACATCTGATTAATGGAAGGACTTTTTTTGTTTGAAGAAGTTGTCAAAATCTTTCATCCCCACTCACCAGACCGCTGACTACAGTACAGTCGACTGAATGGTTTAGTCAACTAAAATGACCATTGGATGTCAAAGAAACAAAAATCACCCTTGGATTAAAAGTAGGCTACATGAACCTAAATAACACCAAAATACACTGAATAATTCATATGAAGTGGCAACCGGTTTGGAGGTCATTTTTGTTCCTTCTTTCTCTCTTTCTTATCCCATATTTTCCTCCATAACCATAGCCAAAGGGAAAAAAAAACCTAAAAAGATGCTTATATTTGTCGGATATTTTTCAATCTCATAATTTACATGAAGCAAAATTAATTGAACATTGGCATTCATTATACTACTTGCTCCGGTCACCAAAAGCGAACAATTAAATTCCACCTAAAATGTTCACAAAAAAAAAAAAAAAATCCAAGCAAAAGGATGTTGAAGAACTCTTAGTTCTCATCTATTACTATATTTCAGTGTCTCATCAGTTGCAATTCCATCACTATTCATAAATATATCCCCAGAACCTAAAAGAAATTTGGTTTGATATTTCATGATTAGTGCTAATAAAAGCTTTAGGAATTAGTTTTCTTATTCTTCTATATAATTCATTGTGATGAAATTTTTTTTTTTTATGAAAGATTATTATAAACTATAATTTTTCTTCTTGTTGAATTCTTCTTCCAATTAAAACTATTGTTATAGGATGCTTTTTCTAAACCATGAATATCAATATATAGACATAATTAATGATTTTTAGTGAGAAATATGTGTTAAAAATCAAACAGGGAGTTTATTACTTTTTAATTTAATATGGTCTAATATAATTTTTAGACATGGGTAAACAAGTATGAGACCAGATGGTAGCGACAAAATCTTATAACGAGAGATGAGGAGAACGATTTATTGTTGAATTAAAATTTGTTGGTTGATCAGAATAGAAAAATTGCTTGAGAATTTGTTTTTTTGATTGATTAGAGAAATTAACGAAGAGACCTACTTGATTTGTTGCTCCAGTATCAAAAGCCAAAATTATTTTATTCATTTTTCAAGGAAAGAGAATTTTTGAAAGTTGCTTAATATTTGTATTCAAGGAAAAAAAGAAAATGAGAAAGGATATTTGTGAACTAGAGTAAAGATTTGATTATTATTAATGGTCGTGGTTTTGTGGATTTCGGCCTCTTCAGATAAAGACGATTATTTTTTTACTACAAATTTCAAGCTACGTTATTTTGTTTTTAACTTAGATTAACAGGTAAAAGTAGAAATATGGATTTATTATAGTACTTCTCGGCCTATAATGATGTATTACATGTCAGATTTTTATTGGAAGGATTTAACTGGATGATTCAGTCAAAAAAGAATAACTGCACCATAGAATTTCCCATATATATATATATATATATATATATATATATATATATATATATATATATACTAGTGTGAGTTTTTGTTTTAACAATTTCCAATCATCAAATCACTTTCATTTCCAACCCAATATATATCTTCTACCCATTCACACTATTCATGGAATTTGAAAAATGTCCATCTTATTCAAGTCCTCATACCCATGAAAGAAAAAAAAATGATAAAATAAAGGTAAATTGAGGGGGGAAATGACAATCTATATGTCATATTTTTCCCCTCACTTTAATAATTTAAGTGGAATTAGATTCGTTTAGTCACTTAAATTTGGACAACATATGAATATGATGGAGAAAATTGTCTATTCCACCCAAAGTTTCAACCTTCTCGCCAATTGTAATCAATACTATTTTCATAGGCCAACTTGGGGTTCTTGCATCATCTTTTTTTTTTTTTTTTTTGGGGGGTTTGTGAAGGAATATGAGAGGACACAAAGTGAGGTGAACTGGCATCTTCAGACAAATTATTGCATGATAGAAAAGGTTCTTCATATTCTGTGTTTCCTCCGGCTATGTCAGAAGGAATAAGTGTTCCTGGATCCGCCATTAAATCAACAATATATTCCCTGCAAAGATATAATGCTTTCAATAATGAAATAAAACATCCAATTTCAGTGTTAAACTCTAAAAACCCTTGTTTACCCCCTCCCCCACACACACACAGATATATATATATATATATATAAATAAAAAATAAAAAAATAAAAAGAAGAAGAAGAAGAAGAAGGAAAATGAACAATATGTACCAGAAAATGACTTCATCCAAGAAAAATAATATTTTATTGCATCATCAATTTTGTTGTTGTACACCATAATACGCTAAAAGTTAGTACGAAGAAAAACTTGACTCCTATCTACCTAAACTACCTTACAAGCCTTAAAAGAAAATGAAATATAGTTGTAAAATGCCAATAGTGCAAATTAATAAGTTTACAACTGTATAGTGTATACAGTGGGTAACGTGAATTCACAGCATTTACTCCTTAATTAACAAGCCACTCACCAAGAAAGTTTTACTTTGGGGAGACATTTTTAGTTGGGGTAGGACCCCAAGTTCCCCTATGACCTTTTAACCTTTTTGACTAAGAAAAATAAAATAAAATGCACATCATGAAAATCCTGTAATATTGTGATCGTGGCACATAATAAAATTGTAAAGAGAATTAGTGAAATAGATAATAGAAATCTCAACTTCACCCTACTTCCAAATTCAAAAAATAAAAACTTAGAAAATAAATAAATGTCTCATTGAAAAACATACACAATATGTTAGTGGAATAAAATATAATTTCACAATAACATTAACCCAAATGGATGAACTTATTAGTATCATTTAGTACTATTTCCTTTGTCTCAAATAAATAAATAAATAAATAAATCAACATTAAGTTTTAAGTTTTCATTTTAGATTGTTACTAACACTAACATTAAATTAAATATAGATTCTTTTTTGGACACAGAAGAAGTGTTATTTTTTTGGAGGGGGATGTTTAAAAGGCAAATTATCTGGTACACCTGGGGGTACTGTGTCCCCCCATGCACGCGTACCTCACTCTCTTACAATAGCGTTAGTCCGCCATTATAATTCAGCTTTCTTTTTCTTTTCTTTTTTTTAACGCGGGGTTATATAAATAACCGAATTCATTCAAATTTGTAAAATTTTGTGATAGAGTATTATTGATGGGCGATGGCCAGCGGCGATCGAGGCGTTGAGGCGGCAATGGGAGTCGGCGATCGAGGCGTTGAGGTGGACACGGCCGGCGGCGATCGAGTCGTTGAGACGGCGACGGCATTCAGCGATCGAGGAAAGGCTCCGATTCCACCAGAGTGGCGAAACGGTGATTGGATCGACAATATGCTTAGTTCAAATTGAGTGATGAGTTATGTCGTTGATGATTCCGGCTTGATGAATGCGGAATGTAGTGGTAGAAAATCCATCAAACAATCTTACTGTGCCAGCAAATCAACGCAAGGTCACAGTTCTATTGTAGATCAGCTGGAATCAGGTTTGTGTATGTTTTGGGGGGTACTGTAATCAATCAAGTTTTTTCACAGTTCTGTTTTTGTTAATGTTGTATGAAGTGGATAAGCGGTTATCTTTGTGTTGGATATCCAAAATGTTTGTCTTGGACATCCACTTTATTTGTCTTGGATATCCGACTTATGTGTCTTAGTTATCCAACCGATTTACATGCGTATCCAAATTTTATTTGTTGGATATCCAACATTTTTGAGTTTTTATATTGAATTGGTGTTTTTCACGTTCGGAGTGTACTGTTTGTGAGAGAATAATCAATCTAGTTTTTTCACAGTTCTGTTTTTGTTAATGTTGTATGAAGTGGATAAGCAGTTATGCTGTGTTGGATATCCAAAATGTTTGTACTGGATATCCACTTTATTTGTGTTGGATATTCAGCTTATGTGTACTGGTTATCCAACTGATTTACATGCGTATCCAAATTTTATTTGCTGGATATCCAACTGATTTGTACTGGATATCCAATATTTTTGAGTTGTTTATATATAATTGGTGTATCAAAGATTTTTTTCTTAATTTTTTGTTTTTCTGTTTGTCTCATTTTCTGTAAAAGATAAACATATCAATGAGTTGGGGGATGATGTGATGCTGGATGATCTGCTCTGAAAGGTAGGTTTTCTAACTTGTTTATATGTGTTTAATTTTTTTTGATTTGTTTATCCATTGTGTTAATACTGATTATCCGACTGTATGGTAATGGTTATCCAACCATCTCTTTTGTTTTTCTCAGAATGTGGAGAAGATAATAGCGGCAATGAATTGGGAGTTGATAATGTGATGGTTGAGGAGGATGCCTTGCACAAGAAATTTCATTTGTGATGAAGAATAATGATTTGACTGTTTTTACTTTAGTTGGCAAGACTGCAAGAAGTGAGAAAGAAGCTTATGATTTGTATAATGATCATGCCCGATTGATTGGTTTTAGTGTGAGAGTGGGAAAACAAAAGTTTAGAGGTAAGACTGATAAAGTTAGGATGAAGAAATTCTGTTGTAATCGCGAAGAATACAAGAGATCCGGTAGAAATGGTGATGTGTGCCATGAGAGGATTAATTTTCAGTGTGGGTGTCCAGCTTATATCCATTTTACTGTTGACAAAGATGGCTTGTGGACCTGTACAAAGCATCTGGTTGATCACAATCATGATCTTGTGCCGAATGAAATGATTGGACTTCTTCGATCTCAACGTGAAGTAGATGAAAATGATATGAAAATAATAAGAGACATGACAAGGAGTGGCATCCCTTTGGTTGATGCATATAAGTTTGTGACAAAATTACACGGGGAAAGTCCGAACATGAAGTATACTTTGAGAGATGCCTACAATTATGAGCGTCCGGGTGTTGGATTTGAAGGTGGCGATTGTAATCAGCTCATGAAGATTTTTTGGGACAGGAAGGAAACTAAAAAAGATTTCTTCTTTGATTTTGACTGTGATGAGCATGGTAGGCTGTGTATTTTCTTCTGGAGGGATGGCAGAATGCGAAAG